AACTTAAATGTGTAAAGGACTAAATTTAATTTTATGACTTTTTTCTGTTGACAAATCGATTAACTCCACCAGTCGCATAAAAACTGTGGCATTACTGACGATTGTTTGTTGGCTATTATTTCTTATTAATTTTATATACCGTTAGATGAAAGCTATATATACAGTTATGCATTCTACTCTAAATATTTGAATTCATACCCTCATAGGATTTTTAAAAACAATATACATTACATCAACGCGTTTCTCAATTTTTCGTTTTATGGAGTTGATCGATGTGTGCGCTGAGCGGTTCATATAATGGGATTTTAAATTTTATATAAATTGTTATTATTTTTTGGTTTTTAAATTCTTCAATTTTAATTTATATTACCTATTTTTCTAATTTTATTTTAGGGTATTTTATTTTATTTAATTTGATATAATTTTTGTTATTTAATATATTTTATTATATTGTATTGTATTTTCTTTTAAAATTATTATTTATTTTATTTTATTTTTACTATATTTTATAAATTGTTATTTTTTTGTTTTTAAACTCTTCAATTTTAATTTATATTACCTATTTTTCTAATTTTATTTTAGGGTATTTTATTTTATTTAATTTGATTTAATTTTTGTTATTTAATATATTTTATTATATTGTATTGTATTTTCTTTTAATATTATTATTTATTTTATTTTATTTTTATTGTATTTTATAAATTTTATTTTTTTGTATTATTTCATTTTATTTCCATTTTTATATTGTTTATTTTATTTTATTTATTTTATTTACAATTAAATACAAGATTTATTTATTTAAAAATTTTTTATACATTTTTTATTTAGAAAAAAATATTTACTTTTGTTTTTTATTTTATTTTGGATGTTTATTTTATTTTATTTTAAATGTTTAGTTTATTTTACTTTATTTTGCTTTTTTATTTTATTTTATCTTGTTTAACTTGATTTTGTTTTACTTTTTTACCTTATTTTATGAATTCTATTTTACTTTCTCAATTTAATAAACTTCATTTTAATGTATTCAATTTATTTTACATCACTTCACATTACTTTGTTTTATTTATTTTCAAAATTAATTTCACTCTGATTAATTTTTAGTTTATTAATTTTTGGATTTTTTTTATTCTACCTGAGTTTTTTTAATTTATTGTAACGTAATTTATTTAATCCATTTAATTTTCTTTTTGGACATTTTTTTGTTTTGTTTTATTTTATTTCATTGCATTGTATTTTCGTTTACTTTTATCTTATTTTATTTACTCCACCTTACTTTTTCTTTAAATATAATTTACTTTATTTTGTATCATTTTCATTTATATTATTTAATTTATTTAGTCTATTTTTTTTAATTTATTTAATTTAATTTATTTATTCTATTTTTTTAATTTATTTTATTTAATTTATTTATTCTATTTTTTTAATTTATTTTATTTGATTTATTTATTCTATTTTTTTAATTTATTTTATTTAATTTATTTATTCAATTTTTGTAATTTATTTAATTTAAATTATTTATTCTATTTTTTTTAATTTATTTAATTTAATTTATTTATTCTATTTTTTTAATTTATTTTATTTAATTTATTATTCTATTTTTTTAATTTATTTTATTCTACTATTTTAAATTATTTTTATTTTTTTGTTACACTATTTATTTTCCTTTATTTGTTTACGTTCAAAAATCTTCTCACTCAACACTCGGCGTCATTTTTTTTCGAGAATTTGCTCCTCTTTTTGCACGATGCACGACATTCGCCCGCTAAAAGGTTACTGTGGAAATTTCGTCAGTAACTTTCGCTTTTTAACCAATTGTTGGACATTTATCCTTTTTACCGCCACTACTGGACCTCGCTGGAAATATCGTAAAAGCTTTTCCATTACATGTCATTACAAATACCAACAACGCTCTTGTTCTCGACGTTTTCGATGTTACCCGAATCCGCGTTCTCTATGCGTCTGCGCAGTGTCAAACCGTTGCATTTCATTCATAAGTGTCGTCACAAGTATTATACTATAAAATTGAATTTGATGTCCTCCTCTGCAATAGTGATTATTATTGTTGGTGTTGTGCGTCGTTTTCACTGTGTTGTGTATAGTAGTAACAGCCGGTAGTATGCGCTGATCAAAATACGACAGTTTGTAGGTTTGCATTATTTTGTATACAAAATGTGTGATATACATATATTTTACGCATCTCATGACCTTTGTTGATATGCAATTTAGTACAACAACCAACAACAGGTGATTGTTATTGTGTAAATAAAATATGTACGTGTATATAGATATGCATTTGTGTGCAGAATAATAATAGACTGCTGCGTACTTGGTCAATGGCATATTTGTGTGTATTTGCATCGAAATGTATATGCATAGACAAATGTATATTTACTTACAACCAATACATACATACGCTAGGTGACCTAATAATCTGTCTAAATATTAAACTATTTTCGGCAACTAATTTTCCACTCGTTCAATAAGAAGCATGGAAATTTCCTTACCTCATAAAAGGATTTTCTAAATTCTTTACATAGAGAAATATATATATATAATTATATTCATGATCAGGTTACTCACAGCACTTTCCTGCATTCCAATTTATAATTATAAAATGTTACTGAAGCATAAACATTTACTTTCAGTTGAAGAAGAGCAATGTAATGTCAATGCTATTATGGCTTTTTCTTAAAAAATTTTTATTTTTGTAATTATTGTTTTTGTCATCCTCAAGCTGTAGAAATTTTTTTAGATTTTTAATAAAATATTTGTTTTGATATAAAGTTTTTGAAATTGCTAAGATCAGTATTTTCGAAAAACAAACAAACAAAATGCAGTTAAGCCTTTTCTGCATATTATTTACAAGATGCGCTTCATACACACATGCACACGTATTCGCTTTTGAATATTTGTCATTATTTACTCACTGCGCATTCATTCAGTCATTTATTCATTCATTCACTCTTTTTATCGGTCACTTCAAATCTCAATATTTGTTTATATAAAAATTTTGTTTTATTTACATGCATATTTATATTCTTTTCGTGTTATTTACATTAATTCTCATCCACACGTGTTCGTAACGATGATGATTTGTTGTGTGATTAACAGAAATTGAACTAACAGTAATTTTCTATACACATATTTTTTTTGATATTCTTAAAAATGGACATTTTCGAAATTTATTTTGCTTTTCTGCTTTTAGTTTTTTTTTTTTTGGTTAAAAAAATCAGTTATTCATGACTTCAACGAAATTAAAGCATTTTTTTCAAAGTCGTTTTTTTTCACACTGAATACGTTACGTCCCTCTTATCACAACATGATCTATGTGGTTGTGAGTTTTCGAGCTGGAGACAGCCAAGTAGCTTTGTGAATTTCCGTGTGCTGAAGTCTAGTGCCACAAACAATCAGATTTCGTGCTCCGGGGAAGTCGATCAGCCTCAACTCGTTATGGCATGATTCGTTGTGGAGGCAGAATTTTCTGACAGTTGAGCCAAATATACCCTTTGCCTAGCCTGGTGTTATAATCGTTAAGCACTATTTCGAAATAATAGTGGAGCCACTGGTCATAAGCACGCTCCGGGTGCTCTAAAAAAGCATGCTTGGTTGCATCATCATTTGCTTTCGTCAGGGTGTGGACGCAAATGAGCGATAGGTTGAAGGACTTTGTTTTCGAACTCTGCCGAGACGTTCGTCAATCGGAAATTTGCGCTCCCTTATATGGCGGTGATGTAAGCATTTTGTTTGTACGCGCTGATCAACCAGTAGCGTCATATTCCCAATTAAAGGACCGTTCAATTCAGATAAATGCACTTTAATCATGGTTCTTAAAATGTTTGCAGAAGTGGTCATAAAAAGTGGGGTCTCATATCTGTTAAGAACGGAGATTTCCCGTTTGCTTTAAAATCAATGCCTGCTCGCAGCCACACCTCTGGAGAGCAGATACTGCTAATTAGACTTCAATGAACTCTTAAAACGAATATGTCGAAATGGCAGCACTGAAGCTTACTCTTTTGTAGCCGTGACCCAAGGCTCCGCGTGGGTTAGTTACCGCATCTTGCACAAGGGTTGCTCAAGCTTCTAGGATGTGCGATGTGGACGTAAATGTAGGAATTGAGTGTAGCCCTACGACTGTAACTTTATATCCAGAAGCATGACTACATTCCGTTTCAACTATGTTTACAATTAATATTTAAATAAGATCTTACCCACTCTGCCCAACCCAATGTCGAGAATTCCTGATTTGTACAAAGCTTTTTTTCAATGTTAGACCTCTGCAAGACTCTTAATGTCCAAGTTCTTCGCGATAAACCACAGAAGCTATATACTGCTGAAATTATGGAGTTACACGAAAAAACGGCAAAAGGTCATAGATAATAACGGTCTATATGGACCTTCTTGTCGCAACCTGGCAGTCGCAAATGCCGAGTGCGTAGCATTGCATACTACCATGGGAGCTCTAGTCGGACCGAAATTCCAAAATTATGGAATTTTTTTTTGCTGCTGTCACTCCCCGGCAGGGATTGTCAAGACGTCTGACATGAAAATCAAAGCTCTCCATAAAAATTCATCCGCTGTGCGGAGGCGCTCGGTCCAAAAACGCTTTAGCGGTTACAATACACCAATTATATAATATATATTTTAGTGCTTTATGTAGATAGCCGCTATGTAACATAAGAAAATAAATACGATAAACTTGTCTTTGGAGAAATGTAATATCCTGAGAGAGTACCTTCCAGTTTCCACGAAAGCTCTTTGTACAGCTTTGTTTGTTGACAAAATCCAATGCAACAAGCAGTCGGCATGCTGAAACCAGTTTATAAAGACCTGTGACGCCTACAAATATACTTTTTTCGCGTCTATTTTTTTACTATAACAAAATATTTAGCTGTCATGTCTACGAAATTGAGTTATTATTTTAACTATTTTAATATTAAATTTCAACTCTCTTAATGTAATTAATATGGAAAATCGCTTCGTCATTTTTGATTTGCTTTCAGAAGATGACAAACAAGTCGGCACTTTGGACACTCTGCTCAGCAGCGCTTACTGTCGTTCGCAGCGCTTTCTGTCCAAACAATTGGCACAGCTGCGCCCTGAATTGACTATGTCAATGTTCTCTGGTGAGTAAACTGGCGATGCTACTTTAAACAAACAACAGTCGGGATATACTTTTGTTACGTGCTTCCGCAAAATTGAATTTAATCCCCATTGACATGTCAATTTAAATATTACATACATAGTTTTTTGCTCTTTTGATTTTCACTCTCTACCCCTCTTTCTCCCTTCGCTAGAAATAACCCATCGCTTTCAGACGGCACGTGAGGATGTGCGTGCATTGCTGATACAATGTCTATTGCCATGGCTACATAATATGGAGTTGGTGGCCACAAGTGTACCACCGGCAACACCATTATCGTACATTATGGTAAATGTGGAATATTTACTCATTAAATCTAATATCTAAATTAATCATACACATGAGTACAGTGTTATACGTAAATGAATTTTGCGAAATATATTGTTTTTCCTTTGAATTTTTATCTTGAAAATACACAGATAAATAAAGATATGTTTATTTTAATTATTATTATTATCATTATTAATGACTTAAATACTTTAATACCGTTTAGTATTTTCCTGATTCTGGTACGCGAGGACGAAGAGAAGGCACAGGTTCGACAGAGGCAACCGAAATGATTTTAAATAATCTCTTTTATATCACAGTGAAGGTAAGAACCTTAAATGTAATTATGTATTAAACTAACAAATATATTATTTACAAATAAAATAAGATACAACAATAGATTATAAGGCTGATGTTGGCGTAGATCTGTTGGCTCGATCCCTGCCATAAGAAGTCTGTGAGGAGATGTGGTGAACTCCTAAACAGCTGTCACTTCTACCATTTTTCATTGTTGTATAACAAAAATATTCAATTCATACAAACAAACCAAACAAACAAATAAACAATAAGTTTAAAAAAAAAATAATAAATAAAATAAATCAAAATAAAAATATTAAGAATAAATAAAAAATTAACACACAAAAAATTTAATTCAAAATAGATAATTTAAAAAAATTAAAATAATTTAAATCAAATTAACTTATTTTAAAAATGAAATAAACACAAAATTATTGTAATTAAAAAATTAGGATCAAATTAAATTAAATAAAAAATTGAAATAAAATTAATTTGATTTATTTATTAAATTTAAATAAAGTTAAAATTAAATTAAATAAATTGAACTAAAAAAACTTCAAGTAAATAAAATAAATGAGAAATAAATTAAATAAATTAAAATTGAATTCAATTTATTTATTAATTAATAATAAATTAATTGTTAATTTGTTAAACTATTTGATAACTAAATTTACTTAAATTGAAGCCAAATTAAAAAATTTAAATTTCCTTATCAGTTAATTAAATTTTACAAAATTAAATTAATTTAAATAAAATAAATAAAAAGTCAAATGAAAAAAATAAAACTAAAAAATATATAAAAAAGGGTAGATAAAAAACACATATGAAATAAAATAATGTAAAAATTATTAAAATTTAACTAAGCTGATAGGGAACCAAAAAATTAAAATCTTTTATTTGTTAGATAAATTTAATGAAAAAAATTATAAATTTAACAATAAAAAAATTAAATAAAACAATAAAAAAATTAAAAGATCAAAAAGACAAAATAATAATAAATAATAACTCTTTTAAATAAATTAAAATTGAATTAAATAAAATGTTTTAACCGAAATAAAAGTTTAAAATAAATTATTTGTTAATTGAAGAATTCTGTTAAATTATTTTATAATTAAATTTAAATAAATTGAAACCAAATTAAAAATTAAATCTTATCATCACTTAATTAACTATAATAAAATAAAATTAATTTGAATAAAATAAATAAAAAATCGAAGGAAAAAAGTAAAATTAAAAAATATATAAAATAATATAAACAAATATGAAATAAAATAATGTAAAAATTATTAAATTCAACAAAATTGAAACGCAATCAAAAAAAAAATAAAGTATTTTATTTGTTAGTCAAATTAAATAAAAAAATTAAATGAAACAAGAAAAAATTAAAAAAAAATAAAAAAATTAAAAAAAAATAAAAAATTAAAAAAAAAAAATAAAAAAATTAAATACAATAAGAAAGAATAAAAAAAATTAAATACAATAAGAAAAAATAAAAAAATGTTTGAAGATTAAAATAAAAATGTAAAAAATGCAAAATAAAATAAGTAAAAAATAAAGAATTAAAAAAATAAAACAAGTAAAATAAAATTATAAAAATTAGAAGAAGAAAATTATAAGAATAGAGTAAAATAAAATAATATACGAGAATAAATCAAAATGAAAATAAAATAAAAAAGAAAAGGAGAATGAAAAGAGCAAAAGTAAAATGAATTAAAGTAGAAAACAGAATAAATTTAAAAAAAATAATATAAATAATAATATAAAAAATAAATGTAATAATAACATAATAAAATAAAGTGAATAAAAACAAAAATAAAATAAACTAAATTCATTAAAATAAAATAAAATGAAAAATAAATTAAATAAATTAAATTAAATTAAATTACACAATATTTGTTTAACAAACATAAGTAAATCCGTTTATTTTCGGTCGAAATAAATTGTAAATTACATACCAGTTTGCATAGCTTAAACAAACAACAAAAAATGGGGAATAACCAATAGATGATTAATTGTGATGAATTTATTTTAACCAAAGCCTACATACCAATATTTCCTCAACATTTATACTAAATTTCTGCTTCTTCTACTAATTAATTTACACACATACATATACATATAATAACTGTATTTCTTAAGAGACTTGAACTTATACAATTATCAAATACATTTTCAGTTCTCTGATACACATCCGCGTGACATTGAAGAGCTTTGGGGCACACTCTGCCAATTCTGGCCAAACAATCTGAAGGTCATCCTACGGTACTTGGTTATAATGAGCGGCATGGCGCCCAATGAACTTTTGCCCTACGTAAGTGAGAGAGATGAAGCAAAACGGAAATAGCTTTATATTATAGCATTTTCTACAAATTAAATTACACCTACACATGGACATGCATACATATCTATTGTATATAAGTACTCAGATTAATGTACTTTCCCAACCATAATATTTAATTGCGTATGTCATTTTCCAACATTTTCATCTTCAAATAGGCGAAACGAGTTGCACTATATCTCGCCCGCACCTGTCCCGACCGTCTACTCGACGAATTGATGGTGGAACTGCAAACTGTGGAAACACTTAATTGTTTAATTGAACGCACGGAGACGCCGCCATTTTATCGTTTAACAAGCATGAGGAAAGCTTCCAGTCATTCTGCCGATGGTAAGTTCATTAAATTGTTGATTTCATTGGATTTCATTGTGCATGGAACGTGTATGGGTCGAGGCGTTGCGGTTGCCTGCGGTGTATTTTATATTATTATTTTGAAATCAAAGTCGATTGTGTCTCATTATTTCGATTCGTTGGGTAAAAACAATAATTGCGGCATTGTGCTTACTGTGGACTGGCAATTGCATATAATTAGAAAAATATTTTGATAAACACATGTACAATACATTTCAGGATTGAGGTGCATGAATAAAATGGAATCCGATATTTATTTAGAAATACGTACGCCTCTGTTAAAGGCTTTGGTCATAGCAGTTGCAATTGTCGCGCTGTTGTTGTTGCAGTTATTTGCTCAACCCCGCATAGCGGTTAAAAATTAGCATAGGTCGTCGATATCATGTAAAGGGAGGGAGATCCAGAAAACGAGATGTTTCGCCGGATTCGAATCAGAGGGAGATGGGTATTAGATGATTTGCCGCCTAAGGCGCGCTGAGAGGTAGTTGAATGTCGTGTGGGGCATCGTTGCAGGCCTTGTAAACGTTAGCTATATATACATATATATATATAATTTGGGCTTTGTAACCGCTGAAGTGATTTTCGGCCGACCTCCTCCTCCAATTTGTGGTTTTGCGTCTTGATGTTTTTCCCGCAAATGGAGCACCTAAAGTTTGTAGTAAGCCGCCTCCGAAGGACTGATGGTTTTTAATGCATTTCTTTCATGCAGAAGTAGACTCGGACCGAAATTTGAAAATTTGACTTAATTTTTTGTTTAAATGAATTTTCTATAACTTTTGGATTTTGCATGTACCAGGATTTAAACCGGAGCCTTCCGAATAGCTGTAACCACTCGGTTACCCCGGCCATAATACGTTAGATGTGTCAGAGCCAAATCTGGTCTCGGGGGACAACTCGAGCTCTTGGTCTTGGGTATTGGTTGGATTCTGAGCATGTCAATCTATGGAAGAGAGTTTATCAAGGTGTTGACGTACCGCCTGTAAATGGTATTTAGTGTCTATCTTACAGTTCGGTTCTGTGGTACTTTTTGAAGAGTCATTTAAGTCTAATGCTCCCTTTCTGATATGCTTCGGTAGTGGTTCTGCTTCCAGTAGTTATCCGCTAAGATGATTCCGGTGTAAACTTGAGACGCAGGTGAGCACTGGTAGCGCTGTTACGTGGCCCAGTACCCATGAGACTTAAGGCCTCGACAGGTCTTAAGGTGACTGCAGTCAATGCACTGGTTGTACTTAACCTAAACGGAAGAAAGTCGTCTCAGAGTTGGGTTCGACACCAGAACTAATGGGAAGGTTTTGAATTAACCCTGTTGCAAGTTATTGCTCTGTGGTTAAAACCATTTGACCTAAAGGGGGTCGAATAAAATCCGGGCCAACTCCGGTGTGTAGACTAGGTTTTCTTAAAAGTCGTAATAGTTGTATCATAGGAGCTAGTGAATTCTGGGTCAGAGCCCTGGTTAGACCAATATCTGAGAAGTTCTTTCCTAATAAGATCGTCTTTCCTCTCGTGAAAAGTGCATCCGATGTTGTCTTAAAAATGTTGGTCTCTTCATTTTTAAGAAGAACATTAAGGTGCTCACCAAGAATTAGAACAGAAGCTCAGCCAAAAATCGCTTGAGCGACTATAAAGACTAGAGACGTCACCGAAAGCTCAATGGATTTCTATGAGATACTTCATTTCGCGACAGAAATACACTCAGTGTGCTTGACATTCATTGTATTTCGGATATCGACCGAACCAGGGCTCCAACCCTGGAAGTCAGAAAAGGAGTAGGCAATGCTCACCACTTGGCTACAGGAGAAGTCAAAACCTGAATGGAGCTTTGTAATTTAACTTTAATTTGCATTACCACATTTAACAGTATATATTTATATTAGTCTATCAAATATTTATATATAAATATATATACTTTATGAATATATAATAAATTTGTATATTTTCTTTTTCACAGGCCAAGCTGTTGGTGGCATCAATGACTCGCGTATTCAAGACTTAATTGTTGAAAAGGGTACAATACATACAAAACGTCATAGCGGTGAGGATCCTATAAAGACAGGGTGAGTACAATTAAAAAAATAATAATAATAAAAATATAATAGAATAATATATTCGTACAGTGAAACTTTCCTTAAAGGTCACCTCTGTTAAGAGGGCACTTTTTCAAGACCCTTCAACCTTTTGCCATAGAAATTCACTTGACTTCTGGTCCCGTTGATGCCTGCTTATGAGAAGGTTCACTGTATATGATCGTTTTTCGTATAAAATGCATTTTTAATACCTATTTTTGCTCCATGTGAGCTTTGAACTAAGTTAAAATCTACTTCTTATAGCTTCTTCGAGTACACAATCTGTTTTCTCCCGTTCTGTCCCGATAGTATTAACCTTGAACTAAATGCACGAACATTTCATTTCAAGGTTTACACAACAAAAACGATAATTGAGATGATTTCGATCATCTGTTCAGAAGGTATATGACATCCAATTAATAATTTCAGAAATGCGTGACCTCTAGGCTGTCAATATCTGTGGCATTTACGTTTTCCCCCGTGAAATGAACGGCGACACTTTTGACCAGCTAGACGTAAGTCGAAATAAAAGGTCTTTTTGTTACCGTCCATAATGTAAAAATTCCGACTTTCACCAACACAAAGTTACTGCTGGTGTCACACCCGACAGCCTGAACTCCGCTTACTAACCCGATTTCTACAAAAATTACACCTCACTTACCCGCGGACTGGTAAGACGCTGGACCGTTACATTGAATTCACTGATGCCGGCTAAACACCATATTGTTAGACATTTCCGCTACCGCTCAAAGTGCCACTTCTCCTTCTTCCAAGCACGGCAAAAAGTGTATACCCGTCAGGGTATGCCAATTCCTCCTAGTGTGTTTCCTCTAAAGAGTCTATTAGTTTGTAGGTGGCTTAGTTTAAACTGTAGGTCCCTCCATTCAATGGAAAGGCTTCAAGAGCGCACCACAAATTGCAGGTGAAGTTCGGTCGAAAATCGCTTCAGCGATTATAAAGCGCTTTTTATATTTGAACTCCACTCAGCAAATCATGAAAGCCTTGAATGTCATTCCTTTTGCAGTTTAAAAGTATCAGGTCGCTCTCTCATTATCTTTCCAACGAAGTGGAGGTCTTTCCCTTTTCCTGTTTCCATCAGCGGCTACTGCATCGAACACTTTCCAAAGTGGTGTTTTCATCCATTTCTTTATTTGACTTCTTTACCCAATCTGCTCCTATAAATGGTGTTATCTTTTTTTGCCCCCCGGGACCCGAGTGATATCATAAGAAATAATGTAGTTGACTAAACATCTAACTATCCAGATTCGACCTTAGCACACCCAACAGGCATATAACCAACATGCAATGAATCTTTGCACGACACTAACCACATTACTAAAAGTCGGCTAACCCCGTCCTATGTTACATACCTTTCTCCTCGAACCCGTCGAAAAAGCTCGCCTGAAGGTGATTATCTCGAGTTCCGGCCGGATTGGTCTTACTATCGATGTGTATATCCAAAGCACGATACTCGGTCTCAATCTCCATCTCTTTCCTTTCACCGTTTTGCAGGCGTAGAGTGCAGTTATAGCTTTCCTTGATCTTTCTGCCGTGATCCGGCTCCAGTTTAGTTTGCTATCTAAGATTATCCCAAGGTATTTGACTTCGGGAGTGATGGTAATCTCCACGCCCTTTAGTTTGGGTTGTTTAAAGGCATGCGGTTTGTACCTCCTGGTAAATAGCCCCATCTCGGTTTTATCAGAATTCAAGTCCAGCTCGCAAACTATGCACCATCCCTCAACTATACAGAGAGCATTTTGTAGTAAATCGCTTAATGTTTGTAGGTGTTTGCCTGTCACTGTCAGGGCAAAGTCGTCAGCGTATGCCACAACACCGGAACCTGTGTTCCTGGCAACAAACAAAAAATCTTAGCATATTGAGACCCACGTAATTTTTTTCCATTTAGGATCCAGCATCGACAATATCAATGGTCCTAGCTTGGAAATCAAACAAAAAATAATTCTTGCTAAGAGATGCTACTTTGGGCTCATTAGGCATATTACTCGCTATAAATCTCTCATCATCAGAACCATTCGAGAGATCAATTCTACGCAAGAGCCTTAACATTGTCTGCATGAGAGAAGCGTAACGAGGAAAATGGAACCACGAGCTCTATGAGCTCTATAATGACATGAACTTAGTGAAGCGCATAAAGATACAACTTCTGCGCTGGCTTAGACATGTCATTCCTTCTCTGACTGAGCGTTCTGAGGGAGCGTTTTTATGCGCGCCGAATGAGGGATAAGGAGTGGAAATAAAAAACGAAAACATTTTTGCTTTTCAGTGTAATATTATATCTGTAAGACGGAAACATTTTTCAGATCTTTCAATTAATTTATACATACATATATACTCTTATAAAAAATGGCTTCTCTTTATCTTCAAAATACACTGAAACTACCTTCTGAGGTAATAATCACACTGTATCAGTTCTACGCTGTAGGTTGGGTGATTCAAAATATTGATGTCTACCTCATACAGGACAACCAACGCAATGCGGCTCTTGCTTTTCTGACGACATGATATTCGATTTTTTCCATATTTCATTTTTCACTTCCGATCTTGTTGCTTGGTTGATGAACGCCAAAAGACTAATTGTCTAATAGCAATGAAACTTCGTGTTTCTATTAATTATAAGTCCCTGAACATGTTAGCATCGTGCTAATGAGCCTAATCACCGCCCTACAACCCTCTCATGCCGTGAACATGAAAACGCTCTCACGTAAGGCGGAGTACGAATAAAATATTAGTTAGAAATCGTGGCCTACAATTAGGCGTCATAACAAATGCCAATACATTAATTATTTTCTGGCTACGTAATTTATATTTCCTATTTATGGTAAAAAACCAATCGTTTTATATTTATTTCTCTTTTCATTTTTTCCTTTATTTTCAGAACGTGTAAATCTGATAGCGGCATACGCGCCTTCACACAAACCACCAATAATCGACCACCTCGCGGTGCTGATAAAATACGTGCTGCCTCTGGGCCATCGATATTACCACGGCCGGAAGACATACTAATTAATGATGCTGAGGTAAGCATATTGAACGGGAAAAATTATACATATTTACATGCCATATAAATACTACATATTAATTAGTTTAAGTATTCTTACTGGTTTTAACATGAATTTACTCTGCCGTTTACTATTTTTATTTTTATTTCTCTTTTCATATGCGTACGTAGTTACGGCAAGAGGAGAACGTCGAGTTGCGCTCAGCAGACGCACCACTAGCGCCACATCCACTGCCTATGCCCGAGTATGGTGGTTACTTTGCGCCACTCACTGAATTCCTGCCAGATGTCAGCCTACCAATCAGCGGCTTTCATCGGTGCGTAGCAATTACATAATGTCTGAGGAATCCTTACTTTATTTTTCACTTTTTTTTAATTTTTTTTGTTTAATTTTTTCTTTATAATTTTTTTTTTTTTTTTGTATATTTTCGACTCGCCAATCTCACTGTATGTTTTTGTGTTTGCTTTCTTCATTTTTTTTTTTTAGTTGCAACGTTGCCGTGATGCTGTTAACGGACATTGTTGTCGACGGTATTCCGGGTATTGATTGGACTTTGCATTTACCTTTGATGTTGCACATTTTATTTTTGGGTCTAGATCATACGCGCGTAATTGTGCGGGAGCATTGCAAGCAGCTTTGCATTAATTTACTGGTAAGTTGTATTATGTGTACATACTTATATATATATATATGCTTTTTCATGGCTTCTCGTATAGCTGTGTTTGTGTGCACACTCATTGGTGTATTGTTCTCATTCACCTACACACATACATATATATACGTTTATGTGCTGCGATGTGTGCTTTATTATGTAATGCTGACTTTTAATGATTTCCATTTAATTTACTCATTTTCTTCTTTATTACAGATCGTTTTGGCCGAGCATAATGACCATCTGACAGTCGCTCGTATTTTATTAAACAGCGAAACCACAAAACTTGACTTGGGGCTATCGGTGCCGCAATTACCGGTGATTGACAATGTGTTTACAGGTATGTTAATCAACATCACTCTCACATATGAAGCAATACAAATAAGACCTCGTAGAATATGGTTTAAGTGGTAAAGGCACTCTAGGATTTTGAAAAGTAGGGTACCTTTGGGTCCTAGAAATGATTTGCAACTGGTTTGGAAGTAAAAGAAATATTTCCAATAGTCGAAATTTTTTATTTTTCTGCAGCCCCTCAGCGCATGCGCTAAGTACAATGAAAACTTTAAAGGTGTTTTTCCCAAAATCGCATTTTTCAAACTGGGAGGACAGATTATTCAGACCCTAAATAAATCCGTACACGTACTTCCAAAGCCCATGGTTTGTAGATCATAAAACTTTTTCTGTTCTGTGTATCATCCTTTAAAAGAAATCGGTCCTCCCGAGGACGCCTTGAAAAAAAAAATGGATTAAATAATGGATTTTATCACCGTCATTTTGTAAAAAAATTATAATTAAAGAATATTTTTTATACTTCAATCTATTTTCAATGAAATACGAGGTGTGTTCAAAAAATATCGCGAATTTCATGTTCTTTCAAAAATTATTTATTTGTTCATGAATATCTTTTTTGTCCCCTTCAAAGTAATCCCCATGAGATATTATACACTTGTGCCAACGGTTTTTCCAATCTTCGAAGCACTTCAAAAAATCATGTTATTTTATCTTGTTCGGCTCCTCCTTCGATGCCGTCTTTATTTCGTCAATCGTAGCGTAACGTCGTCCTTTCATGGGCCTCTTCGGCTTAGGGAACAAGAAAAAGTCACCGGGGGCCAGATCTGGGGAATATGGTGGCTGCGGCATCAATTGTGTGTCGTTTTCGGCCAAAAAGTCGTGCCAAGGCAACGATGTGTGAGCAGGGGCGTTATCGTGGTGCAAAAGCCAATTTTTGTTCTTCCACAAATCTGGGCGTTTCTTGCGGATCGCTTCGCGCAAATTGCGCATAACTTGCAGGTAATATTCCTTATTGACCGTTCTACCCTGTGGCAAGAACTCATGATGCACCACGCCCCTGCAACTAATTTTTTCGTCTGTTGTTGAAGTGCTCGGGCGTCCGGCACGCTCTTCGTCGTTCACACCTTCTCGGCCTTCTGAGAACATTTTGTACCACCGATAAACGTTGCTTCGGTCCAAGGTAGCTTCTCCGAATGCCACAGTCAACATTCGGAATGCATCCGCGCACTTAATTTCGTTTTTAACATAACGCCACGAAAAATGGAAATTCAATTATACGTAACCCGCGAAAATTCAAAATTCGCGATGCTTTTTGAACACACCTCGTAGTTAAATAAAAATTCTATTGCTTTTCCCATCTGACAACCCTTGACTGCAATATTACAGCCAATTCGTGTTGCATATTTTACATAGAACCCTAATCTGCTATTAAGGTAGTTTAAATTGCTAAAAATTATTATAGAGGGTTATCCATTTCGTGGTTTAAAAAACGTACTAGAAAAAATGGTTATTCAACACGTAGCCACTTCCTTTAAGAAGATTTTATGGTGCACATAATCGTCCAATTACTTAAGTAATTGATAAAATTTTAAAGAAACTTGAAGAGACTGGATCTGCTACATTTGTTGGAATGCCTTGCATCAACTTACAACTGCATCCATATAAAGTCCAGCTCCACAGCAACTGCAGCCACTTGACCATTCATAACGCTGTCGATTGGGTGCTTGAACAACAAGCAGCGGACTGCGATTTCGCGAAGAAAATTCTCTTCAGCGTCTAGGCACCTTTCTAATTCGGCGCATATGTAAATAAGCATAATTTTCGCATTTCGGACTCAGAGAATGCTCAAATAATAGAAGAGTCTGGTGCGTTTTTTGGTCCGAAGGTGTGTTTGGACCTTATTTCTTTGAAAACGAGAACGGCTGGACTGTCACTGCCATTTCGGAGCGTTATTGGCATATGGTAACCGACTTTTTTTTTGGCCTGCTATTGAATAACACGACTTGGGCAATATGTAGTTTCCACAAGATGTTTCCACACGCCACACAACATGAGCGAATATGGCTTTTTCGCGAGAGAAATTACTCTCCGGCCGCGTAATCTTTCGTCTTGGCGATATCAATTAGCCACCGAGATCGTGCGATTTGACAACGTTTTACTTTTAAGCGGATGAACTTTTAACTCTTGAGCACTTGCAAACCAGCATTCGTCAAGTTTTGGCTGAGAGCCGGCCCAATATGTGCCCGAAGTTGGTCGAAAATTACCTCAAGCGTATCGAAGTTTGCGAAACTTTGCGGCCCGTGCATTTGAATGATGAAAAAAAATGAATTGAAAAATCATAAAAAAAATATTTTATTTTGATTGGCCATAGACTTGAACCTTAACATATGCCAACAAAAAGTATATTAAACCATACTCTCTACCACCAGCCCATAATCCACACCAGTGCCTTCGTCGATAGTGATTGCCATAGACGTCTTTAATAAACTTTTAAAAGATCTCACATCCACATCCTTCAATTTTGACACTAACAGTAGGCACAACTTGGTATATTAGTTCTCCAAGATGTCATGGGGACCAGCTGTGTTGGAGAAGACCACATGTTGCCAGAGTTCTCATCGACTTAGTAATCTCGATTGTTTGTTATTATTGTTGTTTGTGCAGCGGCTTGCCTAATCTCACTTAGAAGCATTAAAAGTTAGTCAATGTGTTCTTGGTCATCTAACGAGGGAAACTATCAGCTTCGATGGGTTCGGGCGAGATGCAGAGAGGTGTTAGATGACTTAATTTTAAGGGGCAAGCAAAACGGTTATTACTTTCGCGTGGGGACTCGTTGCATGCAGGACATACATATGTTTAGTATGCCGGTGTAGAGTCTAGGAGGTATAAGGCAGGTTTGCTACATTCTCCAGAGCTTAGTTTTGTCAGAAATAATCGGGTCGCGCGAAGCAACTCAATTTCTTCGTCTGCTGTGGGTAAATTTTTATAACGCGTTACCTTATGAATGGCTTTTAGGGTCTTTAGTAGCTGAGCCTGTCTAGTGATATTATGTATTGGTAATGAATGGAAGTAGAGATGGTTCAGCTTCTGACAGGAACAGCGAGGTTTCATTGGACAAATAGTATATGGCGACATCAGAGTTTTCTGCTATTGTCCTCAGCGTGTGTTCTGACTGGTTTGTATATTCTTCATCTGCAACTTGTTGGTGCTCAACGATTTAGTTTATGACCGGGCGGCCGTCAGTCGCAGACATATGCAGAGTGAAGGAGGGCAGGCTGTCGAATGTGATTCTCAGTAAGTTTGGGTTATCTATTTTCGGAATTTTGTCCTCATCGACTTTCACATTCACTGCCAGCTGCCGTATTAATTGGTTCAGCTGAATTTTTGTGGATCGCCAAAGGGCAAAAACTATCCACGAAAGCGACTTTAATGTTCCAAAGTCGATATCTGCTTTATGTAGCGCAATCGATTCGCTTTTTCACTTCGTCCTTTAGATAACTCCCGCAGTATCTTGTAAAGGAACCGCCAACGCTTGTGTTTGCTTCAGGGTGTGTAAGCAATACGACCTATTTCTGGGCCGTTTCGTCCAAGACTAACTAGGTCTTGCGACAGAAAGAGGTTTGTTTTCCCCCCAACCATAGTGCCTTCTCCAATCCAATGCATGCAAACAAAATTAATTTCTGTTAAGTGCAACAAGTCAAGTGAGCTATATGATCTCATAATTCAATATTCTCCTATTACACTTTTAGAATCCAATCAAGAATTCGACAGCTATTTGTACAACGTGAACTCCTGCAGCTTGCCGCACTCAAATTCAAGTGTCATGCATGCGATGAACGTCAATGCTGTGACAGCAACTTTAACGGCTGTGAATTTGCAAAATGTTCAAGCAACGTATTTCAACGCTAACCAACAACAACAACAGCAGCAGCAGCAGCAGCAACAACAGCAACAAATAGTGCAACAACAACAGCAGCATACCAATATGCAACAGCCACCGCCATTACCACCACCGACAACACAATCGCCCCAACTGCAGCAGCAGCAGCAGCAACAACAACAACTACAACAGCAATCGCAGCCGCAGTCGCAGCAACAGCATCAGCAGCAACAGCAAAATCAGCAATCAACTCAACAGCAACATCATCAAGTTGTCTTGAATGTCGGCAACATACAAATAAACCCCAACACTTCGGAGAACTCTGAAGTGCCGCTGATAATAACCGATGAGAATGCACCACCGCAACCCGGGCCCACCATGCTAATCTCGCATGTAATCAAAAGTTTACTAAAGTTTCTTGCACAAGACACCTGCCAGCCGTTGTGGAATTACGAGGATATCACGGCTAAAGGTGAGTCAGCAGCGAAGTTCTAGGCAAGAGCTTAACACTTCTTCGCCAAATATGCACTTTCTTCTTCTTCTTCTTCATCAAAGTTCCAAGTTTATTATTATATTTTACGTTCGCTGTGGAAACTTTATTTCTTTCTCTTAATTTTTGCAGTGTGGATGGTTAAGTCAGCCGAACAGCTTAGTTGCTTCCTCAAACACATGGTGAAAGTATTTGCCGATAGCTATACGCAGGCACGCATTGCTGAACGCTGGGCACAAACCGCACTACAATTGGGCTTATCTTGCTCCTCACGTCACTATGCCGGCCGCTGTTTGCAGATATTTCGTGCACTCAACGTGCCCATCAACTCGCGTATGCTCTCCGATATATTGTCGCGTTTGGTGGAGACTGTCGCGGAGCAGGGTGAAGATATGCAGGGCTATGTAACAGAGTTGCTGCTAACTCTGGAGGCGGCTGTAGACAGCTTAGATTCTGATTTCCGACCGCTTGATGTTATGAAAGACATCTTCAAGAGCACACCGAATTTGAATAACAAAGATGGTGGGCCAAATTCCATACTACCAGGCAAGAAATCACCCTCGGGTGGTATTGTGCCGCAATCGCCTAACTTCTCAGTGCAAAGCCATGCACGCAGCACCAGCTATTCGGTCACCTACTGTGCTCGTAAGAGCACCAATTCGCCATGCGATAAGCAAGGTAAGCCGCATTTAAGTGTTGCAAATATTTAATTTCAAATTATCAGTCAACTACAAGCCCACCTATTTATAAATGTATCTTTCACCAACAGTTGAACTACGCAATCGTGCATCTGGCATGTCCGGTATGTCTGTGATGTCTGAAATGGAGAGAAATGCCGCCAAGTTTGGCGGTTCGGCTTTGTCGCGTTCGCGTAGCGCTCAAAGTTTGAAAATGTTGGGTGACAGCGCCACACAGGTAAGTCTAATTAGCGTCAGAAATGTTATTGCTCTAACCCTTTTTGTTCTCCTCCACCGCAGGATGATAAAATGACTATATTGGCTCAACTTTTCTGGTTGTCTGTCTCGCTATTGGAGAGTGATTATGAGCATGAATTTCTTTTGGCTGTACGTTTATTGACACGTGTGTTGCATCGCCTGCCACTTGATCGTCCGGATGCACGAGATAAAGTTGAAAAGTTACAACAACAACTTAAGTGGGCATCATATCCGGGTGTGCATGCTCTACTATTGAAGGTAATGTAGTGTGAAGTGTGGATTTTTTTTTAAATGCTTTTGTAAAATGGGCTGTAAGACGTTGGAAGATACGGCTAATGGGATTCGGCAGAGGCTTTATCGATGACGTGGTTTTTTTTTCATTGAGGCTTTGTTTAATGTTATCAATCATGCTCACCTATCTAGTTTAGTTCCATTCAATATGTTGAAAGGTCAATTAGCGGGTGAGGGATCTGAACCAAAAGCCAAAAGTTGGCTTGAATCTACGAATGTCGGGATGATGTAATGTAGATGCTAAAAAAAAATCGTATAAAGTGAACAACTAATCTTCTGTGGTTTGCGTTTGCTCGTTATAAATGACCAAATTGTACAGTTCCTTATGCCCTTTTTCAAGCAACCCAAGAGAATAACTGCATGTTTCTTTCGAGCTCTTAAAAGTATGATTATCAGACAACTCACGTGCTGCAGATTCAAGCGCTTAGATCTCCGTTTTAACTATCTGTTTCCTAATTAAGTTTTAAATTGATTCTAAAGCTTTTTTCGAAGTTAACTGTTAGGTAATCGAATACCCAATCAACCCAATCAAATTATTTGCTTCTACAGTCTATCGTTGTGTTTGTCACCGCAAAATATTTCCCGAATTAGTTTTTGGGTAATATTTCGGGAGTGGCTAAAAATCCGGATCGTTTCGGTATAAAGACCCGACTGTCGCAAGAACTATTGGATTTTAGTCGCCTCTTACGGCAGGCATACCTTACCACGGGTAAGGCGGTATGCCCTTGGCATCGTCCTGGGCCTTGCGAACCCTTAACATTGGTATTTGTTTCTTCATTGCACTTCATAGTCGGATCCTCATAAGCATGGGTTGAATTTTTCAGATGGAAATAAATGACAGTTTTAATTGGATAGCCCTGATATTTTCGAAAAACTGTACAAATGCATCTACCAGCCGTTGGTGACGCCATAAGCTTCTTGTGTCCATAACATATGGTAGTTATATCTCTGAACTCAAACAGTTTTCCTGGTAGCAATAACTTAACCTATTACGTGCATAATACTTAAATGTTTGAGCTTAAACGAAAGCTCTATGCGACAATCGGACCTTTCAAGGGAACACAGAAAATATGCTGCATAAGCCTGGATAAACTATTGAGCAAGACGAAACTTTTCAAATCAGTCAATGTTGATCAAGATTTGGAGCACATATAACAGTTCAACGAGCTCTTTGGTTTTTTATTACTTATCTATTAAACTAATGATAACGGTTTAGTACTGCAAGCCCATACAGAATACAGTAATCCCTAAGAGGACATAAAATGTAAAATAAAAGAATTTTAAAATTAATTGATATTTGCTAATTTCCCCTTTTTTTCAATTCTTTCCAGGGCTGCACACACACATCCACATATGAGCCAACAATAACGCTACTCTCACAATTCGCACCGATGCTCAACTTGCCCGTATGTGATCCAACACAAAGCTGTGCATTCCCAATGAATGTCATCTCTCTGCTGCCCTACATGTTGTTGCACTATGAAGATGCAAATGAGATTTGCATCAGAAGCGCAGAGAATATAGCACAGGTTTCATCCGAACTTGGCGCCAAATTGGAGAATCTCGGTACGGTAATGACACTCTACAGTCGTAAGACCTTCTGCAAGGAATCATTTCAATGGACGAAATGTGTTGTGAAATATCTACATGATACATATGCACATATGGGCCTACACATGTTGGCTTTCCTCATCGAGGTACTAGAGAAGGGACCACAACAGATCCAAGTGCCCGTTTTGAATGTGATACATTGCATGCTGCACTACGTTGATCTCTCCGCGCCACAAGCGCAAACTATTAATAGTGATTTACTACGCGCTATCGGAAAATATTTGGATGTGAGTTAAATCTATCTATGCGCTATTGTTGCTTTGTTGAAAATATATTTTTGTTTATGACTTGCAGACCGTCAATTGGAAGGATGCGCTGAAGATATTGAAATTGATTGTAACACGCAGCTCCTCACTGCAAGTGGTGCCGCCAAGTGAAGGTTGTAGTGCCGGTTTATCGTTCTCCTTCTATGGCACATATCCGGATTCGGATATGTTCTGTAAAAAGGAACTTGCTGGCCGCACAATGGAGTTCACCTTCGACGTCTCACAGACACCACTCATCGGTCGACGCATTCTGCTTAAAACGGATGACAATCCCACAATTATTGGTGGCACAAATTCATCGAATGCATCTACGAATACCACCGTTACGACAGCCAGCAGTGCGACTGTGCTAAATAATGCTGCTGGTGGCGTAGCAGGCGTTGTTGGCGCACAATCACGAAATGTTGGTAATATGAATGCCGCTGGACAAGGCGGAGGACAGGGCAATTTCAATACGTCTACGGGTGCTGGTGCACACTTGCAGCATAACAACAGCGCTGTGGGCACACCAAATTCACCACGACGCAGCGCTAGCCTCTCGCCGGCTGACTCTGCGTCACTTAGCGGCTGGAAACGCCCCTGGATGTCTCAGGGTCGGGTACGCGAATGCCTGGTTAATCTATTGACCACTTGCGGTCAGCGTGTGGGCTTGCCAAAATCACCATCGGTATGTATGAACTGTCTGTGTGCAGGCGCTTTAGAAAGTATAACAGCTAAGCCGAAGCCTTTAGGAGTGCGTGTGTGCTTTTTATGCACCGTCTTAATGCGTTTAGGCCAAGTAGCGCATTTATTTCAGCTAAATTGGTAGGCGTGGAATACATAATAAATACTTGTTTATGAATTTGGTTGGAATGTATTTGGCGCTTCCGAAATTTCGGCGTTATTTATAATATTTTGGTTTTCCTTTACTTGCGTTGAATTGCATGCTAGAACGTTTTCATTTTATTTGTTTTTGGTTCGATTGTTTTAAACATACATTTAAACGAGCTCATTTCCTTATTCAGTAAAACCTTCATGGAATGACATACATACTTACTTACTTACCTATAAATATTTATAATATTCAAATCATCACAAATTATTATTAATCTTTTGAAACCCGCTTACCATTTCTTATTTTATTTCCATGTTAAATTCGTTTCGTGATATACAAAAAACAAAAACAAAAATCAAAAATACAAAACAAAAAACAATTATTGCTCCATGTCAAAATTGTGTTTCAGGATGATTTCATTAACTCTATTTGCTCAAAGGTAGGAGTATGAACCACATTTGTGTGGAATTATATAAATTTACACATACATACATATGTACGTACGTACCTCTTGCATTTAGTTTTGGCCTTGTCATTTTTTTTTGTTGTATCACAATTTATTTGTTATTGCTTTGCTTTTTTCATTTCTACAATATATTATATTTGCTAGCTTTGATTTTGTGTCGTTGCTTTTGATATTGATTTAGAAGTCCTCCATAGGTTTATACACCCATTCTTAGAAGTCTCAAAAAACTCAAGGCATCACCACGGTAAATCTTAAATTGAAAACATAACCTAAAAATGAAAGACCCATATTTCGGTTTTGAATTTCATTGTGCGCGTTTTACTATTGCAATGATTGTCTCTGCCAGACTATGGAATATCTTCTTATTTTAGTGGAGCTTAGTTTGGTTAGCTTAAATAAAATTATTTTACGCTTGATGAGTGGTATGGTAGCCAACCATAAATAGCTTCATTATACTCCCAGTGTGTACCAACTTAGATCATTTTCTGCGCTTTGCCATAATCCAGTGCGTTTAGCATTACCTAAGTTCCCTTGTGGGTTGGGGGTTCAAGAATTTCCACGCGGCAGTCGGGTCTTTGTACCGAAACGCGACACGATTTTTCATGCGGCCAAAGAATGTCACGCTCGCGAAAATTTCCCAATAACTACTTTTTAGAATATTTTTGCGTTTCCGACAACAACAACGGCATCTGCGCTGAGCAATCACGTGCCTGAGCAAAACCCAAGAGATGTCTAAAGACTTAACTCTACTTCTACAATGAGAAAGTGCCATTAGACGTCAGTTTCTTCGTCTTCTCTACCACTTTGCACAAGTTGTTCGAAGGTATGACACTCTACGGCTTCAGTGCGCGCCTACGCAATAGAAGATGGCCCATAATTGTGAGAAACAGTCTTGGTACCGCCCTCAGCGTGTGCCAGTATTAGGGCTCTAAAGGGATCGCCGCGTTGCAACAACCGCCTTATTCGCCCAATATGTCACCCTGTGTCTCCTTTTTTGTTCCCTAGAACGAAATCGGTGGTCAAAGGAATCCATTTTGAGTCCATTGAGGACATCCAAATGGCCGTTACGAGGGTACTCGCGGACATTCCAGTCGAAGCGTTCCACAAATGTTACGGAGCATGGAAAACGCGCCGGAATCGTTTTATAGCTGCCCAAGGGGACTATTTTGAAGCGGATGGCAGAGTTGTAGAACAATTTTGAAATATGCGGTTTTTATGGAATCAGTCTCATTACTTAATTGTCACACCTCGAGCCTTATATCGCTACAGACATTATAAAGTGCCAGTTATATATGTACATGTATGGGCTTTCACCTAGTCTCACAACAATCTCACTTTCCTGGAATTTCTTGTAAAGTCATAAGTACTCATCCCAGATGGACTAAGAATTTAAATATGAATACGTAGTCACCTTAGTGGAATAACTTTGTCATTGCAGATCCAAAGCCCTCCCTCGCTCCACCAATTTTGAAGAGCCCTAGAACGGAATATCTGCCTCGCATACTCTTCTACCACCAGAGGAAAGGTCAATCCCTACCAACTCCTTAATTTTTTCTCCACTTGGCACTTTGTAACCGCCGAGCACCTCCTCCAATTCATGATTTTGCGTCTTGCTGTTTTGCCAACAAATGGGTGGGACCTACAGTTTATACTAAGCCGCCTCCGAACGGCTAATGATTTTATATGAGGAGCCTTTATTTGATGTCAGAAATACGCTCGGAGAGGTTCATATTCCCTGCTTAATGCTTAATTTTTTTGTTTAAATTAAATTTCTTTATCCCTTTGGATGTTAAGACGACACGAGCCTTTCGAAAGACAGTACGCAGTGCTAACACTCATTAAATTCATATGTTAAAAATAAGGATAGTCGCGGTATAGAGGCGCGGTACTCAATTTTTTCATATGAAGCTCATCATCGAGCTATACCAAGAGCTCTGAAGGGTAACATTTGGCAATATCTTTCTCTACCTGCTTCTTCCTACTAACAAAATTAGATAGTGCTACTGCTCGAACTCCGTAATGTTCATAAGGCTTGAATATACAGCGCTCGATATAGTGCTGACCATAATAGAACCATAGAACCATAGAACACATGGCACATTGTGATGTATGTAGAAGTATATTTTATTAGATCCTCAACCGATTTCCTTGCTTCGGCTTAAAAATTTTCCCCAATCGCATTAAACAAGAAACATATATTGGGGTATACCAAGGCCGCCCTAATGAAATTGTCCGATTTCTGCTGCGAATGCCATAAATTCGACTGAAGTAATGTAGCGACGCTTCTGTTCACGGCAAAACAACTTTTCGACCTACAAAAGCTTCGTCCTAAGAAACTACATTAACATCTAACCTCTTCTGATGAATATGGCGGAAGTGTAAGCTTGTGAAGTCATCAAACTTTTAAAAACGTTCTGTTCTCACACTCGCAGATAATAGTTAAGGCGGTCTAGTACAAAGGCTTCTGAAGAGACTGCAATAAACCAAAGCTTTGTAATAGCTTTACTTCGACGGGGGCAGACTTTTCATAGAAATCTCAATACTCAAATGGCTTAGTTAGGTTTCTGCATTCAGTTGAAGAATTGAAAGTTTCGCTTGCTTGATATTTGTATCTATAAAGAAACACCTGCGCATGCGCCCAAATGTAGGCTACATCGCTCCATTTATTCATTTATTTGCACTCGCTTACGCAATGAATCGCTTTATTTCTGTTCGAAAAGGAAATTATATTGCTTTCCTATTAAATTTAAACTTGATTTTGATATTTCTGCTGCTGTTTTAAATATTTGCCAACATTTTCTACATTGACTGCCCAAAGCAGTCACTCAGCACATCGATCTTAACTGGCTCCATTGCAACGAGACAAAGCGTAAGCGTTTTTGTTATGTAAATAATTTTCTATGATATTTATTGATTTTTTTTTTAGTTTTATATATTTATATAAATTTGCATATCCTATAAATTATCTTCCACTGCTGCTTTAACTGTGCAGCGGATGTTTTTCAAGTACACAAATACACATCTGCACACGACAAACATTTTGCACTTACAATTATTGTCTTTGCAGCAATTTCTTATTGTGTACCGTTAACTTGCTTCTCCCAACAATAAAAATAACAATTTATAATTTTCCATGTCTTCCATTTAGGTTATATTCAGCCAATCTTCCGATTTGATGGAGCGCCAGTCGTCGGCTGCTTCGTCTACGGAAGAAACCTCCGGACCGCAAGGTGATCTCAGCAGCGGTTCACGGCGTGATGACGGTCAGCCCGACTTTACAGTTTTCAAAGATTTCGATTTCCTCGAGTACGAAGATAGCATTGCCGGTGAATCGACAGATAATTTCAATTGGGGCGTTAGACGTCATCAACTATTCGAGGGTGATGAAGAACGCTTAACTTGTGGCAGTGGCATTGGCGGCAGCGCTAGTGGCGCTGGTGGCGGTGGTGGTGGTGGTGGTGGTGGTTCCATCAAGGGCGGTCACTCCTCTGCGCTGGAGGATAGTTTTAGTGAGAAAACACCCATTTTGAGTAAGAGACGTCGACAAACTGCCGACGATTCATCAGATGAGGATGGCGAATCGGAGTCGCCCATCGATGAAGATCATCGTCAATCGTTTATGAAGTCCACATACAATGTTGGACCGCCCACATCGTTGAGTCTACGCGAACGTCGTCGTCGTAACTCAGTTTCACGCAGCGACACGAGTGGCTCAAGCGCTGGCGATCTTGGTGATATAACACCCTGCAATGCGTCACCACATCTGCCGGGCATTATACGCTTTGGTGCACCCATACGCGATGAGGCGGAGGAGAATTGGCGTAAGCAACTGCAATCGATGTTGATAAATCAGCCCTCGGCGCACACCTCCGAATTGTTGATGCAGCTTTATCGGCTCATAAAAGAGTTGACTTTCAAGACGATTAGCATATCGAAGGAGGCAAAGAAATATTTCACCGGCATTGGCTCACAATTGGGCAATCGTATATCATTGTTTACCGATTTGCTCAGCTCGCGTGCTGATCCGCCGCGTGTTTGGTGTAGTGATGTACAGACGACCACACCGAGACTTTTTGAGACGCTGCGCTTCAATGTGCTGGAGGTGCAAGAGCACTTGGAGACCTTCTTCGATCGAAAAGATCAGGTGCTGGAGGTTAGTGCGTGTTGGTGGCATACCTTACAGTTAAATTATTTGATAAATAATCTTTTGTTTTCTAGTGCTTGGATGCGGTGAAAACGTCATGCAAATTGTCGCTCTTCAATGAAGCGGATGTCGCGGCGTCGAGCATGGAGTTGGCAACCAACACCAATATTGGTTACATGACCTTCGATCCGGCCTCCTCCGAAGTGGTACTAGACTTGGGTCGCTCGCTCTATAAATTAATGTTTCAACTTTTGCTACTCATCGAATCGAATCACAAAATATCGTCGAATGTGGTTAACCATTTTAGGATTAATGAAAATGTAAGTGCTTTTTTTTATAGATCCTTACCTAAGGCATACTAGAGAACTCTGTGCTTCCTCATTGGATATGTCAAGTACTAGATTACTCGTGTCTAGCTTTGAGTTGCCCTTGTCTCCAGCTGAACTGAGGTAGATAAGTGTGACTAGTTGCTGAACCTTTTTGGGTGCACCCCGCTTAGGAGAAGTCGAGACTAGTCCAAATCATCGAGGCCATGTAAAGGAAGGTTCAGAAAACGAACTGTTTTGACTGATTCGGATCAGAGGGAAAGGTGGATTAAATGAAAAGGGTTTAGGTGACATGCGAAGAGATGGGTGTTGTCGTATGTGGTCTCATTGCATACAGGATATACGTTGCGTATTTCGAGGTCAAATATGGATAGGTATGATTTACCTGGTCTGTCGAGATAGTTTGAGTTCTTACTCTGCAATGGATGGTGCTTGGATTCCGAGAACGCCATTCACTGGAATATTGTTGTTAAGTCATCCTTGTTATTGCTATTGTTGTTGTAACCGCAAAAATATTCAACAAAGTACTTTTTTAGGGAATGTTGCGGATGTGTCAGTTTTTGGCCGGATAAAAATCCGAACGTTCCGGTATAAAAGCCCGACTGTCGCTGGAACTATTGAATTTTAGTCGCCTCTTACGACAGGCATGGCTTACCAAGGTAAATTCTTGAGCCCCTAACCCGTAGGGGTAGTCTTTACGTCGTCCTGTTCAACGGTTGTTGTCTATGGCGCCGACTGATACTGAGGTTCAGTCAAAAGTAAATGTCTGCTAGGATGCTATCCGACACTCACGACAGCTGGTTCTTTATCCTACCATGAAATGTTACCCTTTCGGCGACCCAATCCCAAATCACTAGGTGCCCAGCTAAGGAATAGCTGATCATCATTCAGAAAATATAGTCATATTGGGACCTCTTCAAGCTCTACTTATAGTCGCTTGTGAAGAGTCGCCTCATGGCAATTCTATCGTTGCTCGCCCTCTCAACAATTGCTCCGCTTATAGCTCGTTTTGTTTGTCTTAGTGATCACTCTTAAGTTAACCTCTGAATGCCATCCCCGACCTGTGTAGTCGTATTAACCTCTATGTCCACTCCCCTTACAGATGCATGACATATCCGATTTATATGCGCTGGTGCGTGACGCTCTGGTGCGCAGTGTTAGTGAAGCAGAGCTTGAGTGTTTCGAAGCGGCTTCCACATCCACCGAAGGCGAACACACGCCCACACCCTCACCGGGTATACCAATGACCAGCGAGGAATTCGAGACGACGCTGCAAGAGCTCATCGAGGCACAGAAATGGTCTGTGGCCATAACGCATGTACGCCAATACAAGCGTATCTCCCAAATGACTGCGTCCAACCCGAACCTAACCATCTTCAGTTACAACAATTTGGATAGCCGTTTGAAATTCGATGAAATGTCTATTATATTGAATGCATATGCGCAGACTATAATGAAGGATCGTACGGGTAAGAGTAAGAGTCAAGGGTTATCAGTTGAGCTAAAGTTTGAATAAATGTTTCTTCTCCTTTTCAGAGGCCTTCATAGTCTCCAAATCTGACTCGGAACTCTTCGAGGTGTACGCTATACTCTCGGAAAATCTCTATCATGTCTCCAGCGCGCTCACTACTATGGAAATAAATATGAAGAGCTATTCGAGCAGTTCGGCGGCGGCAGCGGCTGCCATTGCAGCTACACGTGGCGAAAGCAGTGACGCTGTAACAAATCTTTAAGAATCCATTTAGTATTAAACAAAAAAACAAAAAAAAAAAATTGCAAATAAATCAGTGAACGAAAATACATATAAAATTTGAAATTATGCAAAAATTATTATTAAAAATACATACATACATACATACATATATACATTTACATAAAAACTAGCTATTAAGGCCAAGTAATGAGCAAAGAAAACGTGACACCGTTGATATCAAATCAATCAGACAACAGAAGGTTTTTAGCAATAAGGAATATGCACAAGTGAAGAGGAGCGTTTGATTTTAGTTATTCATTATTTAATAATTTAGTTGAGCAAATGTTTTCTGTTACCGTGGATATACTGTTTTGTTTCTTCTATGCGTATATGTTATAAAATTCGAATAGTTCTTTTGAGGTGAAGTTTCAACTTTCCAAAACGTTATATTTTTTATTTTTATAGTTAAACATTTTGACTCAAAAAAAAAAGTTAGTTAAAAAATTATGCATATAAATTTATAAAATATTTTATTTAGATATTTCTATTCATTGTTTTTATTTTTTTAATCGATATTAATAAAAAAATTACTGTGGAAAAGTAGAATTAGTCGTTTGTAATTATTGTATCGAGGCTTTTCGGAACTGTTGTTATTATATTAGGTGTAGTAAAAAAAGAAGTCCATTATTTTTGCATAAAATTGTATGGTTTAATTTTTTTTTTTTTTTTTTGCAATCTTTAGTTCTTGTACTCACGCTCAACCAAAACTGAATCAACCAATCACAAAACAGTCCGAAAAGCTTTTTTTAGTACGAAAAGTCATCATTCTAACGCCATTTAGTGGAACCCGATCGAACTGACACAACGGGAGATATAGATAATTAAACGCCATCTATTGCACAAATAATGCATTTCTTTTTACTACACCTAATATATCATTCGCAGAGACCGCTTAGGCGATTATAGCCGAATCAACAAGAGCGTACCATGCGTTTCTTTTCGTCGTTATTTGACGCCAGTTAGAAATTCCAAGTAAAACAAAGTCGCTCACTGACCACCGGATCCTTCCAACGGAGTGTAGATCTTCCTCTTTCCCCTGCTGCCACCAGCGGGTACAACATTGGAGCCTTTAAAGCTGCAGGCGCTTTCATCTATTCCGGTTCGGAAGTGACATAACCGGCGTAGACGCTGTCTTTTGACTCGCTGCGCTTTGTCAATGTTGCCGTGTAACTCTTAAGGTCTCATCGCTTCATAGAACCAAACGATCACAATTTCATGAGGTCAATTTTCCGTAACAGTAGAATTTCCGCTTCTCGTACCATCCACCCTCAATATAGACGTATTAAATGTTTATTGCTGAAGCTATGTCTCGAACGGAGCTGGTTCTTACCAGATATCTTTTCTTTATCGGCTTAGTATTGACCTAGCAAGATGGACACTTTTACTGCATGCCAAGGTGAGTGGTTCGCGCAGGTCGGACAAAGAAAATAACAAAATCAACCCGATCAGATCAAAACTGGCTAATAAAGTAGACGTCAGAATTAATTGGTCTGAGCTAGATGTTATTGTTGTTGTAGCCGCAAAAATATTCCCCAAAGTAGTTTTTGAAGAATTTTGCTAGAGTGAAAGTACTTGACCTGTAAAAAAAATCCGCATCATTGCGGTATAAACACCCGACTGTTGTGGTAACTTCTGAATTTTAGTCGCCTCTTACGACAGGCTTGTCTTATCACGGGAAAATCTTTGAACCCCTACACCACAAGGAGCTGAGCTAGATCTCAGGATATATTTAAAGATTTCGGTTTACTGCAGTATTTTCTAGATAGAAATCTTCGCAATAAGGAAGGCCGCTAAGCTTGCTAAACACCACAAGAAACCACATGAAGAACTGCAACACATACATTGTAAGCCAGGCGCTATCGTATTACGTCGGAGAATACCCTTAGAGGCAGCGAAGCAGTGCATATGGTTTTCCTGTCACAAGGACATTGTGAGGCACTACTTAGTTGATTTGATTGACAACGACTTTGTAACATCACATAGTTTCTTTCGCCGCTTTTACAAGATTTCTTTTTAGACAATTAAGAACTTCGCTGTTCAGAGAACTAGAGGAATAAGGCACCAATAGTCTATGCAATAGCCAGGCAGTGTAACCTAACATATTTGCAAACGCTAGCCTATAATATTTAAGGTAACAACATCTTCATAAACTCTCGCCCCGTGAATGAAACACTGAGAATCCAACCACCAGCCATGGATACTGTAGTCGTCGCTACTCCTATCTAACCAGATTTGACATCGACATACCCTACGTGCATATGTCCTGCAACCAACCCCTTCCTTTCTAATCCGTACCCACTGCAACAGGTAATTTCCCGAACTTCTTGCAACTTGACGACTTACCAGTGATTTTGCCACTCTTACGCGGGGTTGTGCTTGCTCCCATGACATTATACTAAAATAGAATAATGATATAACAAAAAATTACTCCAAATATGACGAAGCAATAAGGAGGATGAATGCGAAAATATTGACATTTCCTACCATTTTCTGTTGATTTAAATTTGTAGGCTTTATTTCCAGAATTATAAAACATGTGATTCTTTTTTCTTATCAAACTTCCCACATTTGAGTTTTGTAGGAAGTGGGATAAACTGTCTGCATTTAAGCGTAGCCTCTTTTTATTTAATGTATAAACATGTTTTGTATGTATTGTACATATATATGTATGAGCATGTAAAATATTTATTGTTTAATTAAAGGAGACAAATAACTATAAAACAGCCTTGCTTATTTATATACATTTTACATTAAATATTCATATCTTTGTGTATTTTTGTTTATCACTTTGAGCGCAAAAGTATATATGTGTATGCATTTTTAATTCTTAATAAAGAATAAATACATATATCGTTTTTATAAGTATGTAAATAATAAACATTAATCTTAACAGCTTATTCAATCATAACTAACTCCCTCTTATTTTTTCTATGAGGTTTATATGTTTAAGCGAACAACTTTTTCATTGCTTCTCTTTGTGTTTGGTGATAGTTGGAGAGTAATTTTTTAGCGCGCACTAATTCGGTTAAAATGTTCTTATTATTAGGTACAATTTCATTAGCATGATTCAAATCAGCTATCGCACTTTCATATTCTTTGAGGCCAATGTTGGCTTGACCGCGACGATAGAGTGCTTTGAAGCAGTCATCATTCATACGCAGCGCCTAAAAAAAATAACATAAGCTAGTGATTTGTTTTTCTCACCTAAACTATACAATGCATACGAACCTCTGTGCAAGCATATTTTGCATCATTATATTTTTCCAGCTTGAGATCCACTGCAGCCAAATTAGTTTGATTAATCACGAAGAAATCTTTTAGCTTCGTTACATCACCCTCGCCGATAATAAGATGTTTATACTTCGGATTATCGAAACGGAGTAGAAATATATTGTAGTAACGATCTGCTTTTCGATACTTGCGACGCGCTTCGAGGTAGTTTTGTTGAGTGAAAAAGTGATTTCCAGCATTTCGCATTACCGTAAGATAATTTAGTATTTCCTCAAACTACAAACACAAATCAAAAGATTTACAAACAGTTATGTTTATGTAGAATTTTATATTTACAGTAAACGCGTCAGCTTTTCTGTCCCAATCTACGGGGTAGGGCGGTAGCTTATCTTCAGTCTCATCATTATCGCAAAAGCCCCAATCTTCGCCTGGATGTATTTCTCCGCAATCCGCTATTATTATATCCTATAAATATTTATAAATACATACATATAAATGATTTTGAAAATCTCAACCCAATTCCCTTATACAAACACTAACCTCTTGCGGTTCACCTTCATCCGATGAAACGAGTTCCATATCCGAAAGTATAGACAAACCACGCAGAACCTTTCCAACAACTACATTCGTGTTATCGAGATTATTGCTAGATATGGCCACAACAAAAAACTGCGAATTGTTTGTGTCTTTCTGTCCATAGTTTGCCATGCTAATGGCACCTTCATCATGCTGTTAAATATGTGTTTATATACACATTTCCAATTTTAACACACCTTCTATTGTAAAATGCGAGCTGACATTAACTTACAAGTAGTTCGAAATTTTCATCATCAAAAATTGGTCCATAAATACTTTCGCCGCTGGTGCCATCGTTATTCACAACATCGCCACTTTGTGCCACATACAGGCTTGTCACCTTGTGGAAACGTATACCCTTGTAATGGAGCGGTTTACCTAATGTACCATTGCCCTTTTCACCTGTGCACAAAGCACGGAAATTCTCGGCTGATTTTGGTACAACGTCTTTGCGCAGTTCAATTATCATTCGCCCAGCTATTTTACAATTGGAAACGTTATTTCAGCTTAAAAATTGTGCCATCAATCGACACTTACCACTCTCTTTGCCAATTGTTATGTCCAAGTAAACCAAAGGATTTGTGGGACATACCGGTTGCAATATTTTTTTATCCATAGATTTTTTTTTTTTAACGAAAACCACTTTCCTAATCAAAATTTCTAAACAAAATGAAAAGGGTACCGGCGTAGCGGGACCGCATACTTATATATATCGACAACATTGTTATCGATATTTATTTTATCGAATATTTAATTGCACGTCGATTAAAGGTGAAGTCACGTTTACATAATGGCAACTACGACGAAAGAGATTAAGCAAACTGAAACCTTTGACAACCTCGAAATATATAAAAACAGTAAGATCTACAAATTAGCTATATATGTCGAAATTGAGATTTTAGACTCATTTGACTCTCAGAAAATGTATAGTTAAATTCTATTCAAATTTAATATAAACTTAAATAAAATACCTAAACCAACAGCGGTTTTGTACATTCACACATCAGTAACTAGCCAAAAAAAAAAGAATATATATATATAGATAGAGAACCATAAATTAAGAATTTACCTGCCTTGGTAGGGCTTGAAACAGTCAGGTCTTTATATTGGCACCAGAGATAATGATAATTTTTATTACGAGGACCCTTTATTTTATGTCCGAAATACACTCGATATTAATGCGTTCCTTGATAATTTTTTCTGGGCTGCTAAGTCTGAGTTAACATGAGGATACTTTTGTCACTTGTATAGTAATTTTTCGTTTTGCGCCGCCGTTCACACAGCGACACTTTGTTAGAGCATTTTTTTTTTGACATCTGTTTCTTCTTAATTTTTTTTTTCTATTTATGCTTTATTTTACAATCGCAAATATTCGTTCGCTTCGCGCTTTTTAATATTTCCAAAAAAAAAATAACAATTGTGTATGTTAAAGAAGACACAGCTTTTATTTATCCATTTCTTATATATATATACATATATATTTACATTCGATTAAACTTCAACGCCTTTCCTTCCGAAAGTGCAATCTAACAACAAATTTTTACATATCTCGTCCTTCTCATTAACATCATAGTCAATCTCATGCCAAAATTTACAGATACGAATAGAAACACAAAAAGTGTCGAACGAGCACAGCGACACGATGCGCTGTCGCCTTCCACATCAGCCCCTCCCCTTCAAAACTAGTGTTTCGTCGACAAAAAGTATCCCCGTGTAAACTCAGATTAACAAAACCAAATGAAGGAACTTTGAACAGCTGATCGTTAGAAAATCTAAGCGCCAGTTAGTCAATCAGGAAACCCAACGTTTTTCGAAAGAAAAGCAATTTATGTTCTCAAAAAAGCTTTAATTAAGCACAGCACAATTGTGTAGCAGTAATTATTGAAAAATATTCTCGTACACAACTTTTTGTTGGGACAGACATATAAATTAATTTTTTCGTGTGTTGTTGAAGTGCTCGGGCGTCCGGCACGCTCTTCGTCGTTCACATCTTCTCGGCCTTCTGAGAACATTTTGTACCACCGATAAACGTTGCTTCAGTCCAAGGTAGCTTCTCCGTATGCCACAGTCAACATTCGGAATGCATCCGCGCACTTAATATCGTTTTTCACACAAAATTTGATACAGGTTCTTTGATCCATTTTTTTTTTAATTAGGTAAAAATCGAAGACCATCCAAAACACCAAGCAAAGCTGCTGTCAACAATTAAGTGAATATTCAAAATGGCCAAGCTTGTCGGCATAAGTGACAGACATGAGTACCAACATAACGCCTCAAAAAATCAAAATTTGATTATACGTAACCCGCGAAAATTCAAAATTCGCGATACTTTTTGAACACACCTCGTAAACGACAGTGCGAAACGAAATTTTATCTGAACCAACATTTTTTAAAACTAATATCGAATATAAGTTGACCTCCAATTACGGGTGAGGAAAAACTAGTGGAAAAACTATAGTAAGCCCGGGGCATACAGGACTGTGTAAGCATAACTAGTGTAGTTTAAGAAATAGATCAGTGCCCTATTTGAACCACAAAAGAAGAAATAATTCAACCAATCATCTGATGCACCTTCATTTCGTACTACTACTTTTTCTATAAATCTTCCACATAATCATTCTAGCGTCGACTCATTGGATATCAAACTATTTGGAAAAACCTACTGTCGTTCATCGTTGACATTCAACCCATTAGAGAGTACCGACCACTTCGTACTGCATCGGGTACGTTGAGCTAAAAACCTATTAAAAATTGGTAACGAGAGCGCAATTTTGACGGTCAGTTGGAGGTAAAGTTCGTAATGGAATAATTTGATTCAATAAAAACTAGCAAATATGAAAAACAATTGATTTGTGATCATATTGTTACGATTTTACTAAATCAACCTCGATGATTTCCTGAATCCTTCGGGTACGATCTCTGGATCGTTAAATAAAACATTACAAGACACTTTACTAGCTACAATCACTTGCATCAACTTTCACAATTTACTCTACTTAAATGTAATCTCCAACGTGCTTACTTTACGACTCTATACTGATGTTGTCGCCAACGAGTTCACTTTGCAACTGACTTCTTGGCAGCTGAGTGTCGCCCTTATATAGCAGTCGGCTGCTCGCAGACGAAAGCGTAGAATAATCGAGTTGTTCGCTATCGAAGGTTCTCGTTTTATCGTTTCTAGAATGAACTAGTTATCGGCTTCTCTCTTTCATCTTACATTCGCCTCGCATTTTCGCAACATTATGGTTGAATTTTTGTCAACAAAACAAAATTTATTTAAAATTAAAATAGTTTTAATTCTTTAAAATGAATTATAGTCCAATAAAAAAGTGGTTAAATGTAATGTTCTTTAATTAAACTGAACAATATCAATGATTCCAACAATTGTAAAGGTAGTGGCGAACAAAGGAGCCGCATAACACATTCGAAGCAAAGTTACTGCTACGGTGACAATGAGGATAATGCATTCTTAACCTTCCGGAAGCGGCGAAGCTGCACAAAATGAAATATTACGTAAAAAGTTTTTCAAACTTATTTTTGTATATCAGTCATTCTTACTGAAAATCTGAGCTACAAATTGTTGCAATCCAAGTTTTATATCAATACTTGTCTTTTTTGGGGGCTATTAGAAAAAAAACATAGTGATTTCTTTATCGTTGGACGGCTTTAAAGTTTATGGAATTTTATCGCAAATTTTATTAAAATACTTGGGAAAATACTTAAAACCAGAAAGCATAAACGAACGAATTCAAAAATTAACCGCCGACATAAAGAGCTGTTGTACAACTTGTTAGCTAATTTTTCCTCTTTCGGAGAGTAAACATCTTACTCTCTCAGTTTCGTTGCTAACTGGTTTTTACTGACATTTCTCAACGAGCACAGCCATTAACTTTGCAGAAGTGCTGCCAGATCGAAACCTTTTGAGGGCAGAAAAGTCAATCAGCTGTTTTTTACTTCCCCAAACAAATATTTATTTGAACTTCCGGGATCACTGCCTACATTAGAGTACCCCAATGTGTATTTCCCTGCTACTCTGCTTCAGCTCACTGAATGGAAATTGGTTTTGTTTTACATTAATTTTTATTATTTTCTATCACATTTTTATTGAAAATTTTTTCTTCAAAATTAATACTACAATATAATAAGGACTTTTCTAATATATCACGATTTACGACTTAATAAACAATTAATAACACTTAAAGAATCATCTGTCGAGTTCAATTTATTAAGTAATGTAACTTCGCTTTCGCCTCCTCCTCCGTTGCGTGATTTATGGAGAGTCCTTTAACAGATTGTTCTTTTTATTTTTGGAAATATAGTGCTAGTGTTTAATTATTTGGAATTTTTAATTTTTAATTTTTTTTTTAACAAAAAACAATTGACAAATAATATTTATAATGTAGTTAAACTTAATAAAAAATATTATAAAGCTTCACTACTTTCGGTTGGACTTGCCATTCTCAAATTGTACGCTGCTTCCCTGTCTATAGCTTCTAGCTCCCTTTCCAATTCTTCTTCTTCTTCTTCTACTACATCTTCTAAAATGTCATCAACTAATCTTTCCATTCTACTCAAGTGTGCTGCTCTACTTTTAGCCAGTCTATCTTTTGCACGAGTTAGCTCATTCTGTATTTGCTTATTGCTAGGATTCAGAAGTGCCGACCTGGAAAAGTCCCTAACCGCTTCAGCATACCTCCGAAGGCAATAATATGCCTGGCCGCGACGAAAGTAAGCTTTGCAGCAGTGCTTACCCAAATATATTGTCTAAAAGAAAAACAAAGATATTTAAATGATATACATACATATGTATGTATGTAAATCTGTATTTTTGTAGAATAAATTGAAAATTTCACCAACCTCGGTGCAATAATATATCGCATTCTCAAATTTATGCAGCTTCATTTCCACCGCAGCCATATTACTGTAATTAACAGACGCAAATTCATGCATACTGTTCAAGTCGTTTTCGGGTATAGCAAAATATTCGAAATTCTCCCATTTACCACGCGTCATAAAGAAATTGTAATAACGTATTGCTTTTCGATATTTTCGACGCGCTTTACCCAACATATTTGATCTATAAGCCCCATTACCGGCTTCACGAATGTCGCATAATATTTCCAGTAAGTCCACTGTCTAGAAAAATACAAAGAATTTTATTTGTAACAGCCTTAATGTTAACATGCGACGGTTAGGCGCCATAATCATAACCGTAAAGAACAGATGATATCAGCAACTCAACGCCGTTAGCAATTATTGATGCCATACCATATTACCGTGGCCAATACCATGATAGCCATAAGCTCTAATCGATGAGAAATGTTATTAATAATTAAACAGTAAAGAAATAACGTTATTGTACTCTCTCGCCATAAATTTAACTGGGGTTTTTGGCTCACCGTACGCAATGCAGTACGAAATGGTAACAATTGTTACTGCCCATCAGGTCATCGAACAGAACTATAGCTATCCAATGACCAATTGGATTTTGGTATTTTTTGTATAGGGTTATCCATTTTGCGGTTTCGGAAATAAAGGTAAATAAAATGCAATTTCGATAATTTTTTGTCACAAAATTACCGTTTTTTTTTTATAAAGTTTGAGCCTTGGCATTAATTAATATGTGAACAGTACATTATTCAAATGATCGCCTCACGAATTTTAGCAAACTTCGATCACTTTTTGGCTCATATTGGGCGGTATCTCAGCCATGTTGCCTTTCAAGTGCTCAAGAGTTAAAGATTTATCCGCTTAAACACGCACTTTCGCGTGGGTCCGAAAAAAAAAGAAATGTTCGACGGTGTCAAATCGCGCGATCTCGTTGCCGATTGACATCACCAAGACGAGAGTTTACGCGGACGACGAATTTCTTTCGCAATTCAGCCATATTCGCTCATGTTGTGTTGCATGTGGCACCATCTTGTTGAAACCACATATTGTCCCCAAGTTGTTGTTGTAACCGCAAATTATTCCTCGAATTGGTTTTCGGGGAATATTGCGGTAGTGACAGTCCTTGGCCGGATAAAAATTTCGGGTCGTTCCGATATAAAGACCCGACTGTCGCGGGAACTAATGGATTTTAGTCGCCTCTTACCACAGGCATGCCTTACCACGGGTAAATTCTTGAGCCCCTAACCCGCAAGGGTCATTGCTCCCAAGTCGTGTTCTCCGGTGACAGCCTTGCTGTTGTCGTTTTCAAAGAAATTAATTCCAATTATCGTAGGCTCAAATGCTTGTGTGTAGTTAGCATTGCATACTACCATTCGGTAGGGTAGGGCTCAAATTCTGGTGTCGTACTAACATTCAAAAATTTATACAAAATTAATTTAAATAAAAAATTAAGTTAAATTTTCTAACTGCGTTCGTCCCTCGGCAGCGAATGTCAAGGCCTCTGAGTGTGTTTCTGACATGAAATGAAAGCTCCTTCTTAAAATACAGAGGCCGTGTGAAGGCAAATCTGTCCAAATGACTTGCGGAATTACGGACTTACGGACTTTCGGGCGTCCACTTGACTCAAGACGAAAGTTTTAAAGCATTATGGGAGCGTCATCCATAAATCACGTGGCCATCTTGGACTACTACTTCCCTTCATGATGGAATGTGATTTTGTTTGGTACTACTTTGCGTTTTCATATTCATTATAAATGTCTTATATAAATAGACCTGCCTTCTATACAGCAGAAGAGATAGACTTAATAAGCAAATGTCAGTAGAGTATTCATTGTTCGCTTCCGACAAACCTTAGTCTTCCTTACTTATTTTCATCTTGTTGTGTTATTAATTTGAGCATAAATAGTTATTCTTAGCATAGTGTGGAAAAACAGAAATAGAAAAAAAAACATATTGCACAAAAAAAATTGGATTTCATAAAAATCACAAAAAAATTAGATTTAATCGATTTATATACAATATCTCGCAAAATAAGCGAGATTCTTTTATTAAAAATTCTTATTTGGTCAAATTTTTCCGTAGTTGATCAGAAATCGCGTTAATTTCTTCATATTTCGTCGAGTTGTATAACAAACAGCCGTCAGCTGTGATATTACGGAAACACCAGTGTTGCCCACTTACCTTATAATCATCGAGTTTTAGATCCCAATCTCTTGGGTAAGGCGGAAGTGGATAGTTAGGCGTATCAAATTCGCAAAAACCCCATTCATCGGTTGTTTTTAATTCACCACAATTCCTAATGAGTATTTCCTGAAAGTAATTTTGTTTTTTTTTTTTTGTTTTTTTGTTTTTTTTTTTTGGTATTGAAGAACATTTAGCATGAAAGGACAATTATTTCACCTCTTTTGGTTCGTTGTTTTCACTGACTCGTTGCATTTCATATAATATCGGCAAACCACGTAATATTCTGCCAAAAACTACACTATATGATCGATCGAGTTCAGGTGCAGGTTCACAGGTGAGAATGAATTGGGAATTATTTGAATTGGGTAGACCATAACTTTTCGTACTAATAACACCGGCATCATGCTGAATAAAGTAGATATGGAATATATAAGAGCAGAGACACACAACAAAATATTGTAAGTACATGTACGGCTGATTACATACATATGTATGTATGTATGCTTTTACCTTAAAGAGGCGATTTTCATCTGCGAAAGTGGTTCCATAAATACTTTCACCACCACTACCATCGTCCTTCACTACGTCGCCGCCACACGCATAATTTGATGTGACTTTAAAAAACTTTGTCTTCTTATAATGCAAGGGTTCACCGAATGCGCCTGAGCCTCTTTCCCCCGTACAGAGTGAACGGAAATTTTCCGAGGTTTTCGGCACTGCATCAGTACGTAATTCCAAAATCATGCGACCAGCTGTTAAAGTTTAACACAAAAAAAAAAAAAAAATTAAAAAAAAAAAAAAAAAAAAAAAAAAAAAAAAAAAATTAAAAATAAAAGTGAAAAAGGGTGACAAAAAAATTTAGTTAAATTTAATTTAATTTTTTAAAAAATTCAGTTAAATTTTTTTGTAAAACCTTCACGTTAATTTTGTTCCCTTCCTTATTTTTGGTTCGGAAATCTTCTTACCGTACTCGCCACCGATGTTTATGTCTAAGAACACCAAAGCATTAGCATTACAAACTGGTTGCAGTATCGTCGCCATATCTTCGATACGGCCAATTATATTAAAATGACGATCAAATATTCGTGTAGCGGGTGGAGATGGAGACTCTTCATCAGAAGAATCCATCACAAATTTATTAATTGAAAGAAAAAAAAAAAAACAAACTTAATACACAAATTAGAATTCAAAGTTCCGAAATGAAAATGCAGATGAAACAAGCGGTGCTGTCAAATGATCACAAATCAAGTTATTCCACTTCCTAATTGCTATTATGCCGCTATATATTTTCTATGTATAACGGCATTAAATAAAGTACAACAGAAAGGAAAAGAAAATAACTTAATCAGGGCTGTTTTAAAACCTGATTTCGATTCCTCCGAATCCGTTGGGAAATCCACAATCGTGCTCTGTAATTTTATCGATTTAAATTTATCGGAATTTCTTTTAAAATTCGCTTCATAAACGTGCAGAGAATGTGTATTAAAGAGAAGGTTCATTTGTACCACCTACGGCATTGCTAAGAGACTATTTCACCTCTATACGATATTAGCAAGAACTATTTCACCGCTAGTTAACAACAAACCAGCAGAGACTGACAAATTATTTACAGCAGAATGATATTTGGGAAACAATAATAATTTGTTATTATCTTGCGCAGAAATGTTGACAATAACCGAGTGCTTAGCAGTATGTACTAACATTCGGATGATCTAGTTCTAGTCCTGGTCCGACCAACCTCCAAAAATGATAGAAAATCACTCTTCGGTAAGGAATGTCAAGTCCTACGAGTGTATTTGTGGCATGAAAAAAGGCTTCTCATGAAAACTCATTGACAGGAGGCGGCTTTTAAAGGGTGATTTTTAAGAGCTATAGGAAAGTTTTCAAAAAAAAGACCCACAAAATTCAGAAAAATGCATGAAATCTTTATTTAAGTCGATAGTACGGCTCATATAATTTAATATTTGAAGATTATTTCATGCAAATGTTGACTGTGACTGCGCCTCAAATGGTCCATCCGCTTAGTCCAATTTTCGCATACTCCTTCCAACATTACGGCCGGTATCTCACGAATAAATGCTTCAATGTTGTCATCAAATGCGTCAATTGAGGCGGGCTTTTCTATATAGATATTAGATTTAACATAGCCGCACAAGAAATAGCCTAAAGGCGTTAAATCGCACGATCTAGGTGGCCAATTAACCGGCCCCGAACGTGAATTAAAATGTTCACCGAACTCGCCTCTCAATAAGTCCATTGTTACGCCTGCTGTGTGGCATGTGGCAACGTCTTGTTGAAACCACATGTCAAGCAAGTCAGGCGCTTGCTTTTTGGGTAAAAAAAAGTTTGAGATCATCTCACGGTAGCGCGCACCATTCACAGTTACGTTACGATTTGCATCGTCTTTGAAGCAGTACCGTCCAATGATGCCACCAGCCCACAAACCGCACCAAACTGGGACTTTTTCTAGATGAATTGGTAGCTCTTGGAATGCTTCTGGCTGATCTTCACTCCAAAATCGATAATTCTACTTATTGGGTGGGTACATTAAGCCGAAAATGAGCTTCGTCGCTGGGCACAATTTTTCGATAAAAAAGTGGATCTGCGGCCAACTTTCCAAGAGCCCATTCACCAAAAATTCTGCGTTGCGGTAGGTCGTTCGGCTTCAATTCTCGCGCCAGCTATAACAGAGGCCCAATTGCTGCGAATGGCGATGAATCGATAATTGATCGTCATCATTAACACCGTCCGATCCAGCTACGAAGAAAAAACTTCAGTTCACACTCTACGCAAGCGTGTTGGTGGTATAATGTCCAACAATGTAAATTTGTTGCGAAATTTAGTCACAATAGCCCGAACAGCCGCTTCAGTAGGTCGATTAAACTGACCATAAAAGGGAAGAACTTTCTCGCCATGAACTTTCTAAACAGAGCACGCATTTTAATAATAAAAATCAATTATTCGCAAGCGTTGTTTGTTTGATAGATGATTAATGGTTAAATTAGAGACCAACAGGCCTATTCTCACTTTTACCGGTAAAGTAAATTTTGTTACTTTTCTTTAACACCCGTAATTGAATTTGGTATTCTGGCGAACTGGTTACAATGTTTGAAAAAAATTTGGCAGCACTGCTTCTTTCGTCCATTGCAAATTACATTTGCCAGTTGATAAAGTAAAGATAAAATTCGAAATGGAAGACGGTGCACAAAAAAATTAATAAATTAAAAAAAAATTGTTCATTAAATCATAAATATTTGAGCCCAATAATGTAAAATATGCCTGGATAACAAAAAAACCGAATGAAAACGTTATCTTACAAATTAAAGGGCTATTTTTTACTCTCGAAAACTTCTTAAAATACGACTTTTTGCACTTTTTTCTTCACCTTCAATGAATTCCTGGCTTAATATGTGCCATTTGGTTTTCTTTTTCTCAAACTTACCACACAAAATAAAACAGCAGATATTTTTGTTACCTCTTATTTCGCTGGTAACAAAATTTACAGGGTAACAGTGAGCTCAGAATACGAAATGGTAACAAAATTTACTGAATGGTAAATAATACCTAATATAATACCTAAGTAAATTTTGTTACCTCGACAGAATAGGCCTGCAAATTGAAGATGGTTGACAGTAAAACAAAACACGAAACGTGCATCAGCTGCGTAAACCAGTGTTGCCAAAAAGATAATTGCTAAAAAAATCACCCTTTAGTAACCTGTAGGTCCTTCCATTCGTTTATATAGCTTTCATTAATTCATCTCATATGGATCAATTTGACTTAGTAAATTGCTATGTTCGGGCAAAAGCTCCTCTTCTCCTCCTTCCCAAAATCTCAATTTCAATATACATATATATGTATGTATTTGTCGAGCACCTTTTTGATGCGCCGGCGGTAATCTAAATCGATTGGAATTCAATTTCGATCGTATTTTAGAACAGTTTCGAATGTTTCTAACATAGTGTCCACCTATTATCGTAAAAAAAACAAGCTAAAACTGATTGAGGAGAACATTCAGGGAGGGTGCATAAACTGTTTAAAGTTTTTCTCTGGAAAACGTCCATAGGCATCTCGGTTGATGAACCTGGCTTCACCTGGCACCTCCAACCAAACTGCGTAAAGACAAATCCATTGTGGATTTGGCTAGAATCGATTAAGGGCTGCTGGCACCATTTAAGATAAAGAAGATGCAGGGCATAAGCACATATAAATACACGTATTTAATTAGTTTCCAGTTTCCCAGCCACAGACAGAGCTAAAACACTTACTACAGTTTGGCTGTAGAACATCATTATCTTAAATAAAAGCATAGGTCGTTTGGGTGTCTAGAAAATTCAACTTAATCTAACCATCATCACGGTAGAATTTTGATCTTCTTAAACAACAACAGGGTACTCCGCTGCTAGAAGTGGATATCTTGACAATTGAATTGCTGAGTGGTTTCATAGAAAAGTCTAATAATAATAGTGGTCATCGGTAAAATTTCTAGGTAAAAACTCCTCTCCCTTCCTCAAACTCTCTCTCTATCTTCAAAGGCAGTCTACTTGATTGCTTATACTAATGGCTAGCCGCTCCTGGTGATCGCCTAGGATTTATGTAGATAAAGAATCTTTGATTTCTTTGCGATCTTTCTCACTTTTTTCACTTTCTTGTATCACACGAAGATCTTTTTAACCAGCTGAAGCAAGGATTAACGATTTGGTCTGAATATCAAAGTTGATGACGTTAAAGTTTCTATTGTTAATAACGCAAAATTATTGGTAGTAACTTTCTACAACCTGATTTCCTTCATTCCACAATCGATCGCTGATTGTCTCACCACACAGAGCAAAAAATATATTCAATTCGATAGTCAGCAGTACCTGGAGAAAATAAAGAAAAGACAAAAACGTTCCAATTTGCGGAGATATCGATCAGCTGGTCAAAAGTTACGCCGCACTAATGTGAGCATTGTTAGTATACCGTCTTGAGGACCATAACAGGAAACCTGTCGGGTAAGAATCAATATCCGCTGAGTTGCTACCACTAGGTTCAACCTTAAAGGCGCCTGCTTGAAGCAGAAACGACCTCAGGTGCACCAGGAACGTACTTCGTTCAGCAATATGATTATGAACTCCATTGAGCAGTATGTAAAGGTATCGCTGCAGATGACGTGCTACTGAAAGTTCATGAAAGCCATTCATAGAGAGTCAGTCAAAATCCTCTTCAGCTCTCATTTTGTTAATAGCGTCATTGGAAATGAACCACCACGTAGAACTCGGCTCCGTCAGAACGAGTAGACTTAGCTTGTACCCAACCGGTCTCGGCCCTAACTTGACTAACTTATGTTCAGAATGCAAGGAAACCTCGCGCGGAACTAAACTACTCATCCAACAACTCCTTTTGAGCCACAAGTTAGATTATTGCTGCTAAGCGGCGTCTACAATAACAACGCAGATGCATTTAATAACATTCAGATGGCTTTCGAGGGTGTTTCTGTCGTCAAATAAAAACTTCTCATGAAAATCGATCGGCCATTGGAGGTTGGCTTTAAATAAACTGAGGGTCCCATTATTTGCTGGAACAACATCAAGATGCACAGCACAATTTGAAGAAGGAGCACGGGAGAAAATCTCTTCAGCGTTTATGAAGCATAAGTTATTAACAACAACAAGAACAACAACAACAAAAACAACAACAACGATGAAAAGTATGGTTTTTAAATCTCAGCTAGTAAACTCGCCAACGTTTATTCTCTATGCGAGTGTTTTGACTGTCATTGTTCTCTTGATTTTACCGACCGTAGCGCTCTACGGTGGCACATATGCTGAACTGGATGCCTCTCAATTCCGAATGTTCTTCTTCTTTACACGCATACGCACCGCATACGCGATTACACCAGTCAAGCTTCTGGGTATGCAGTTACAGTCACGGGGCTATACTCATTTCCTACTTTTACGTCCACATCGCACATCCTGGAAGCTTGAGCAATCTTTATGCGGTAACCAACCCGTGTGGAGCCTTGGATCACGGCTGAAAGAGAGGAAGCTTTAGTGAAGCCACTCCCACTTATTTGGTTTAAGGGTTCACTGAAGTCTAAATGCAGCTCCAGTTCAGCAGAGGTACAGGCTCGCGGCTCGCTGTATAAATGTCTAAAAAAATAAATTTTTTCGCCTCGAGGTCGTGCACTGCGTTCGGGACTGGTCACCAGAAAGAAACCAATTCCGTTGAAAAATTTAGCAACGCCTCAATTCCACACTACGACAACAAATATACTATTTTTTTTTTAATTTCTGCATAATAAATTGAAAAACATTTTATTTATAATTTACATTTAATTAGTTTTATTTATTTTTTTTTACGTAGATAAAAAATATTAATTGTTCATATTGCAGCTTTAAGTGACAATTATTGTTAATACAGAGTTTTACTATAAAATATTGCATCCCTTTGGATAAAAAAATCATGCAAAAATATTTTTTGTCCTATTTCGTTTGGTGTATTTGTGTTTTTTTTTTTCATTTCGAGAATAACAACTTAGTTTAAAGAGTTGCAAGAGAGAAGACGTGTGAAGAATACATAAAAAATTAGATTTTAAAAATATATGTATATATTTTAAAGCTTAACTTAATTATTTTTCACTAAAATATTTTCATACTAGCAACTATGTATGTATGTATATATAAGGTATTTAGATTTTCCACGGCTTATTACACAGAACCTGTAGTCCTGCGTATGCAAACTCATAGGGAGCGTAAGAAATTCTTTCGGTTGTTTGTAGTTTTTTGATTTTATTTCTTTTGGGTTTCATTCTATGGCTGATTGAATGGTTGGTTGGCTGATTGGTTGCACGGGCAGTGTTTTTCGATGCCAAGCATCGTTTATGGCTCCAATCGGCTACGTGAATAACAACCATCGGGCAGTGCTTGAGCTATTGCACGTATATTGGCCACTTGTTCTTCCAAATCGAACAAATCCTTTTCATATTTGTCAATCCACTTGCGCTGAGCATTACGCAAATCGCGGAACTTCTCTATGCGGCCGGTCAAATTGACGCGATTCAGCTCAGTCTCCACTTGATCGAGACGATTTTCTGAGCGACATAAAAGGTAGTAGAAATGTATGAAAATAGTAATATTTATATGTAATTATCTCCTACTCACCCAGCTTATCTAAATCGTCGACATTGATATCCTTCAGGTTTTCCAACTCTTCCTTGATATCATCCAGCTCTTGTATGGATTTGTCAATTTGATTTTGTGCCTCTTGTGCGCCGGCCTTGGCTTGACCAACCTAACGTAGGGATTAAACCAAAATTTATGAGTGTTCATAACCTCACTTTTGCTTTCGTTAAAACTCTTACATTTCGTTTAGCATCATCCACTAGACTGTCGTCTTTGTTGGCCGATTTGTCCAGTTTGACTATGCTGCTTTCGGTGATTTGTACACGATGATTGAGCTGATCGGCTTCGTCACGCAATTTGCGTGCGTTTACTTTGGTATCGTTGGCTTTTTTGCGTATAAGTTCGGCATCCTAAAAAAGATTTGGAGATTTGATTGTTAGTAAAAAGATATAACATTCCAAGCAGCATTCGGAATCTCTGAGGGAAACACTGTACACTGCGGTGGATAGAAGGTAAACAACGTCATCATCTTCGCAATCTAAGTAGCAAACTCGTAAGGCTAAATTTTACCATAGAAGTGCTTCAAGGGTGTATCGCGAAGGCTTAAGCTGCCGAATTCATCGGCTCTGATGGAATAAGTAGGCTGGTGCTGCAGCACTTGGGTCTAGCTAGAGCGACTATCTTGTTAAGTTCATCAACCTGTCTCTGACATGAGCTGGGAAAGACGTCAAGAAAAGAGAATCATACCTGCCGATATCACCACTCTTTACATTAGCGAAGATACTTGTAACGGGGAGCAGTCCCTATATTAAGCCACCATGACTTCGTAATGTGTACAACACCACCTTCGCACTAAACGAAATAAACACTCATATAACTCATGTACCCAACCAACACAGCGTGTGAATTATTCTAGAGTTGCCGAAAGCTTGCGATATAGTCCATCACGCTGTGCGTGCAACCAACGAATGCTGAGGGCTCCTCATTTTTGTCTGGTTTGAGTCACCAGAAGTGATTGGGAGTATTTCGTGGCCTAAACTCCAAACATAGGGTAGGTAAGCAAGCCGTTCCACAGGTTGATGCTCCCTCCCCAAGGAGGAATCTTTGATCTCGACATTGGCATTCGGTTGGTATATAAAAAACCTTTCTTCAAAATTAACACAGTTTTCGGTCCGGCAGGTCATAAATTACGGCGCATCGACTTGAACTCAGGGGTTGAAGAAGGGATACTCCCGTCCTAAAACCATTTTTTTATAACATTAAACCTCCGTGAACAGAGAGTTAAACATCATCTTCAACTTGCAGTGAGTGGAGTCATCGAGATCCAACTACCACTTATAACAGTAGGTTCTTTTATTCCCCTTTACTTTAGGTTGCCCCTCTCTGTGACTGTACCTACCTTTGATGCTTGCTCGGCATATTTCTCTTGCGCCTGTTGTGCATTGGTCTTGGCTTCAAGCGCATTTTTATTCGCTCCCATTAGAGCCTGGAGAATGAAGGAGGAAAAGAAGAAGATAATTACAGAAGATACTAGAATCACAATGGTATTACCTCTCCAGCCTGTCGGATTAACTGTTCGGCATTTTCGATTTCCTGTTCGATGCCTGGCACGGTTTTTAGCGCTAGATCAGCCTTCTCGGAAGATTTCTGTACATCAGCCTGGAAACCTAGGAGGAAAAAATGAAAATATTTAGAAATCCTTTTTATTTAAGAGCTTTACAGGAGTCTTATGCTTACCTGCCAATGTGTGGTATGTGTTGTTGGCTTCCTTTAGTGTATTGTCTCCCTGCTCCACAGCTTTCGTTGCTTTGTCAAAGGCATCTTGTGCGGCATTCAAGAGGCGTATGTCGTCTTGTTTTTGTTCACCCAATCTTAACAGCAGAAAATTAGTAAAGATAGTACTTTTTGGAAACAAATAAACTTGAAAAGATTTACTAATTACCTCTCTATTAAGAGATCGCCCAATTGATATTCGTCATCAAAGTCGGCGAAGACATTACCATTGCTATTGGATATATCATTGACTTGCTTGAGCAGACGATCAGCCTAAAATGTTACGAGTTAATATACGAACCGTATAAGGGTATATTTCTAAATGTAGTGGCCTACCTCTTCATTCGCTTTCAATGCTTCTTTCTTCAACTTTTTAATATCGATTTCCGGCGCCGTGAGTCCATTGACATCTGTTAAGAGAGTCAAGGCAGCATCGTAAACTTCGTTTGCCTTGCGCAGAGCTTCTTTTGTAGTTTGAGCGACATTTGTGAGAGACTGTTTTACGGTATTCAACTCCAAACGTACCTCCGAACGTAGTTCATCGCTAGGAAACAAAATATTTTTAAATTGCTTCTTCAAATCTACCCGATTTATTTAAGCTCCTTTGCTTCAGAAACATTTTTTGGGTAGCCTTAAGCCTTCCAAACACTCACCTGACTTTCTGCTGCAAGTTGATGGCGCTCTTGGCTAACTCATAAGCCTTTTCAACCGCTTCATTCGCATCCTTGGCGTTTTTCAGGTCGACTTGCGCCTCCGCTTCCAGGCGATCGGCCAAAGCACGCGCCTCTCGCGATATTTCTGAGATTTGATCTGATTGTACGCCAAACTCTACCGACTTATTCTTCGCCTTGGCCAAAGCCTGAGCGCCGTCATCATTGAGTAGATTCAATGCGTTCTGCAACTCGTTCTTAGCGGCCTCAATGATGTCATGTGCATTCGTATAGTTTTGTCTGGCCTTCTCAATTTCCGCATTCGCTTTGTCTTGCAGTTCATCGGCGGACACGAGATGAGTGCGTATGTTGTTAAGACGCTTGTGTAAATCATCCAAGACTTCGGCATAAGTCTGACCACTTTCACCAGCACCATACTTGGCGTCGGTTAAGAGGATATCAACTTTTTCTTGCACCGTCTTCAGTTTCGCCTCGAATTCGTCATCATTGGTGACGGGCGTGCGTGCAATCTCATCCAGTGTAGAGCTGAGGTTACGCAGCTTGGCGCGATGTTCATTAGCGGCATCTTGCACGAGATTATAGCAGTCTGGACAATCGATACAACCCAAATGACGATCATATTTGTTCTCCTTACAACGATCACAACGGCGACCTTCAACATTGTCATTGCACGGGCACTGTCCATATTGATCACATTGGAAGCCTTTGGAGCCACTTTCGTCACACTCACACGGCTTGCAGCCCTCCAGCGAAAAGCCATAATGATAAACCTCACACTGATCGCAATGTTGACCCACAACGCCAGGTTTGCAGAAGCATTGACCCGTTAATTTGTCGCAGGTGGAGTTGTAGCTACCCACAGGGTCGCACATACAGCTCTCGCAACCATTGCCGGACATAATATTAAAGAAGCCCGGTTGACACTCGCCGCAATCACGACCAATCACGTTCGGCTTGCAATGACATTGGCCTGTAACTTGATCACACTGCGTTATGCCATCCTCATTTTGTTCCGTGCCTGGTGGGTAGCAGGTACAACGATCGCACTGACCATGTGGCAGTGCCAACGGATCACCAAAGTGACCGGGTAAACATTCATCACAATGCTGACCGGCCGTATTGTGTATACACTTAAGACACTCGCCAGTAGTACGGTTACAATTGCCCACCGCATTGGGATCCACATTGCCATTGCAGTCGCAAGCCTTACAAGTTTGCACAGCGCCATAAAGACCCGTTGGATCACCGAAGAAACCGTCCGAGCACATTTCACAACGCGCGCCATAATAACCGATAGGACATTCGGTACAAATAACGGTATCGCCATTGATTTGCATGCACGCACCATCATTGGGGCATGGACAACGTTTACAATCGTATGGCGTGCCGCCCAAAGCGTTGCCATAATAGCCACGTGCGCACTGATCACAGTTATCGCCAGCCGTATTATGTTGGCAAATACAACGGCCTGTCTCCGAGTCACAAATCTCTGCATGACCATTACAATCGCAGGGTATGCAAGGCATGAAGGGACCACCACGTGCAGGACTATGCCGATAACCTGGCGCACAAGACTCGCAGAACTGACCCAAATAACCCTCGGGACAGGTGCACTGCTCAATCCAGGCGGCAGGCTGTCCGGCGGCGCCACGATGTGCTGTCTGCAATTCGACATCATCCAAAATGGCCTCACCTTGCACAGAGTAGGTGGCGCGTATCTTAATCGCTGTCAAATTCGAGAGTATGGAAAGGAAACCGCGTGAGGATTGACTGGGTTGCCACTGATAGTCACGGTGTTCGTGTAGACGGAAAGAGTAATCTTTTACACTCTGATCAGGCATGCCGTTACCCTGGCCAAATATGGGTAGAGAAATTTTAGTGCCAGCACCTTCCAGAATGATATCACTAGCGCTGGTGCTCGGCGCTACTTGGCCAACCAATTGCAGTTTGAACTTCAAATCGCGATTGTAGGATGCGCGCTGATCGCCAAGGAAGCGCTCGGGCGCTAAGAAGTAAATATATTCATTGCCTTGTGCTGTAGTGCCGATACTGCGACTATATTGATTATATTTGATATCCACGTCGCGATTGTATAGATCAATGGCGGTCCAACGTTCTTTGTGTTTGTTAAAGTTCGACGTAATCGAGACGATAGAGTAGCCGAGCGCAGTCTGACACTCGGAGGTATGGCCGTAACAGAAGCACGGTGTGCAACCAAAACGATTCGTCTGATCCAAGTTGAAGAAGCCAGGTTTACATCTGAAAAAGCATGGAGCGTTGAAGTTTAATACAATGGCTAGAGTAACTACAAAACTTACTCATTGCAACGTTTGCCCTCGACGTTCTCCTTACAGTGGCAAATTCCCGTATTCGGATTACACGACGGCACATTATCGGCCGAACCGCGTGAATCGCAACCACAGGGCTGGCAGCCATGTTGTCCAAACTGATAGTAGTTATTATCGCAACGATCGCACTTCTCGCCAGTCACGCCGGGCTTACACTGACACTTGCCATGGCTGTTGCACTGCAGCGAACGTGAGCCCACGGGGTCACAATTACAGTTGATGCAGTAGCCATCCTCGCGCATGTAGAAGTTCTCCTTGCAGCGCTCGCAGTTGGGGCCATCACGATTCTCACGACAGTCCAAGCAGTGCCCACCATGGCCGGTTAAATTGAAGAGATGCGCATCGAAGAAGCATTTGTCGGCGAAACCATTGCAGTTGCAAGCTGGAAAGAGAGAAGTGGGTTGAGTCGAATAAACGTAAATGTGCATATGTCTTGTTTGACGATAGATAGTTCGACAAGTTGCGTTCATTACAATTCACAAAATACCAATTGGTGGCATGGAAATTAAATCTATTCGTCTCCAACGAGTAATCCCAGTGATGATGCGTTTTTGGCTGGATCCAAATAGCAAACGCACTTGACCAACACAAAGAGGTTACACAGAAAAATAAGAGTTTGTAATGTACACCCATCTTGCCACTAGGCCAGACGTCTAGCTACTGTGCACATCTTTCACTTATCATTAACGACTAAGCAATAATTCCACCTAACGGCACTTGTCTTGTGCGTGTGTAATGCACACGTTCTAAAAACTACTACTATTTATGGCAACTAAGTAATCCTGTTTCCGCAAACATCACTCAAATTGGTTGCGTTAAGCTTTACGCACCGCACAGCCCACCAGCCGAAACCCACTGCCCCTTCCTACCGCTCACCTTTACATTCGTTGACTTCTGTGGATGTTGCCCTTTTCCATTTGACGTCATTATACAATGGCAAACATTTCTCGCAATCCGGTCCGTCGGTGTTGTGACGACATTCGCAAACCAACTTACGTTCGCCATGCATACCGGTACTTTCGACACATTTACTCGCATGACCGTTACATTTGCAACGTGCGCCCACGGCAATATCAGAGATGGCATAAAAATATGATTTGAGTACTTGTGCATCGTAGAAGAGCTCATCACCGAACGTGTTGAGGCGATCCAAGGTGATGCGTATGTCGGTAGCTGTGACCCATTCCTAAATGCAGATAGAGAAAGAGTGCGAAGAATGAAATGATATTAAATGCCATATCTCTCTTCACCTTAGCATTATTCTCATACTCAACTCACCTGCAATTCACCGCTCCGTTCGAATATGATACCACTCGGTCGTCCCTCTAGTGTGGAGAAAGCGATTTCACCGTCACGCAACGGCGAGATGTCACTGTATTCACTCGTGCAGAGTGCATGCGCTTCGCCTTCACCCTTCAGAATGGCACGTGAATCGGGTAGTGAATATGTGTCACGACACGTTGCACTATAGTATTGATATGGTATCCATTCACCAGTCTCCGAGGTGCGTTTATAAATCGTAAACGATTCGGGACGTGGCGAGCGGAAGAGTATGCGCACATAGGTGATATCGTATGATTTGCCCAAGTGCAGCGTTAAATTGACATGATTCGGGTGTTGTATGCCCTCGTACATGGTTTCCGATTGCCACCACGTGGGATTCTGTGGATCGTGCAGATCGGTGAGATACGCCGGATAGTGATCTGTGTATCTAAAATAGGCAGGCAATTTTTTTATTATATTTAATTCCATATCTAGTATCGTTTGTATTTTTAATATTTTCTTTAACATTAAAAAAATACTCAATTTTTTTATACCGTTATTTAAACTTACCTACAGACTTCACAGTTTTTATGATAGGGATTCATAGTCTGTATACAAAAGTGATTCTCGCCGTTCTCACCACAAGTGTTTGTGGCCTCGATTTGCAGTTGATAGGCAGCGTTTATAAATTCTGGCATACATTTCTAGAAGAGAGAAGGACGAAAGAAGTAGAGATTAGTTTTATTTTTCAAAATTTACCTAATAATGGCATTAAACAATAATAGTAAGTACAGTTAAGAAATAAATATTATTATTACTATTAATTCAAAATGTCGTAGGCAAAGAAAAAACACTCGTCTTCCCAGTAGCCTGGAGCTACCCCAAAGCTCTCGAGTCGCACTTAAGTTTGCCACACCTTGATTTGAAAACTCTTGAGTTCTTAGATATAGAAATAATTAAAATTTTGGATAATAGACAGATCGTGATCAGACTCGTTTGTTTTTTGATCTACTAAATACAAGTGGATAGTGGAGTATGAGTCAAAGGCGGTTACTCGAATGAAGTAAGATGCAGAGTAAGCTCGAATCGCTTAAATCTTTGACATAGAGATATTGATAGGGGTTACGTTAAATGTATGATCCTTTTTCGTAAGAGTGGATGCGATTTAACCAAACTCTCTAATCCGTTAGGGATCTTAAAACATGAGCTCTATGAAATGTGGGCACTCACTGTCGAGATGATATTATACAATATTAGATATATTGTATTTGACTGGTGCTTTCTAACCGCCGAAGTGATTTTCGACTGCGCTATGGAGATACCTACAGTTTATTCTAAACCACCTCCAAACGGCTGATGGATGTTAATAAGGAGCTTTTTACTTTATTCCAGAAACAGACTAGAAGTGCTTGGTATGCCCTGCCGAGGGGAGCGTAATTAGAAAAATTCATTTTCTATAATTTTTGGTTCGTAATCTGAGATTTATGCTCACCTAAAGAGATTTCTGGCTAGTCCAAATCTCTCTCAGACTGTTTAAAATCGATCGTAAACGAGTACCGAAATAGTAATTTGAGTTTTAGAAAAAAAGTAAAAAGTCGATTGGTACCACATCGGGTGAAAACTTGGGTTGTTCTATGATTTTTGTTGAAATTCGGACGAAAAGTTATTCAAGAGCCTTGCAATTGATATTGTATTATCATAGCGCGAAATCCAAAAGCTTTATTTTAACAGAGCTGATCGCTCTAGTGCCGCATAAACCTCAGAGAATATTCGTTGACGTATGACATTGACGTGGGTTTTTAGTTTAAGCAAAGTTGGAAGGTGCTATTTCGAAGTTTTTTGGTTGATTTGCGTATCAAACTCGTAAGCTCATGTCTTACCACGAGTTTCGATGCCTATATGAATACGGGCTCGGGATTGACTCGTTCTAGCATGTCTAACACATCCTTTAATTGAATTTTTGAAGAAAATTCAGGCATTTCAAAAATTGGTAGCGCGGCAGGGCATTTAAAGTGCAAACATTCGTTTATAACAGTACACATTGATTCTTGAGACACAGAATTCTTCAAATTGAGCAGAAATTTATCTAATTTTCTTGAAGACTTTCAGTCATCATTCCCTTAGCTTTAGCGATGTTTCAGTTAAGGACGCTGATGGTCGACGACATCGAAACGAATTTTCTCCCACATTACGAACAACTTTGAATGCACTGTACGCCGTTAAGCTTCGTCAGCGATTCGGTTTTCGAAAATTTCAAAAATTTGAAATAGAGTCTTCAGCGAATTATAAAAGCGCCTAAATCCCATTGTTTGTGGAGACAATATCTCTCATATCTCAGGGGTTAAAGTCCCCTCAATAAAGCCACAAAAAGGCTAAGTAACCTAATTGGTCTGTTTACAATTTACTCCGCCCCACAATAATATAAGGGTACGTTTAACTGTTCCAGAACCTTAAGTGTTCGTCGGTGGTATACTGCTTTAAACAACATTTGAAGGCATCGAAGGATCTATGGTAGTCGTTGGTGATAGCATCGCCAGCTTGACTGTCTACCAGGAATCTAAAACATTCGCCAATTAAAGCGGCAGTCCAATTGGCAGTTACTGCAATCCTCACAAGTTCTGTTTGAAAGACAGAGTTGTAGTCAATGAGCTTGAAGCTACTTTTGTAGTCATAGAAGAAACTTGCTCTTAAGCTTGTCTCAATTTTAGAACCCTCTGTATGGATATGGGTATCTTTCTCCAGTAACAATAATTAATTTCAGTGCCAGTGCTGAGTATTTTGAGTATGTGAATGTAAATTATGCTAATTACGTTGCGTGTGTGTGTGCACACAAGTGTGTTAATCCCCCCACATTTTCCAAATATGTTTACATTCAAATATTAATATTATGAAAACATTTTGATTATGTTCAATTATTGAAAAATGACACAAATTACCGCAAATTAGTTTGTTTGAGTTGAGGTTATTGAAACTAATTAAGATGCATTTACGAGTGAGTAAATAATGCGGGCTTTTCTCAACAATGAAATTGTTTATTGAAGAACTTTTGAAAAAGTGACAAATTAATATTGCTACTTGTGCGTTTAGATATAATGCATATATATGTATATATTGTCCTAGAAAAAAGTTAACCATTATTTCTGCAATAGATGACTATTTCTATAAGTGTTATAGGGTTACACTAGACAGCATTAGAAAGATGATGATGTTTTGTACTAAAAAAGATAATCTCGGACGAATATGGACACCAGATAAAAGCAAATACGCTATATTCTACAATACAATTATTCTTAAGGCGAAAACGCAAGTCTACGAAATAATGAAAATCGTCGAGTCTGCGAGTCGATTGACCAGAAGCTAAATGTTGCATAAAAAATGTTTGGATCAAGGCTGGATATACAGAGATACTTATGAACATATATAGGTGACACTTGGGATAACGAGAAAAAATCTTATGAATCGAAATTCTACTAGTATATGCGAATCGCTGCTGAGTCGTAACAAAATCCATCCATATCTGAGGCGGATAGTGACCGGTGCTGAAAAGTGGATCACTTACAGCAACCCCAAATGAAAACGGAGATCGATGGTCGAAAGGCAGTGAGCCGGCACAAATGGTCTTCAAGGCAAGATTAACGACAAGGAAGGTTTTATGGTGTGTTCGGTGGAATTGGCATAAATGCTTGCCACTATAAGCTGCTTCCCTACGGACAAACTGTTAATTCGAACTTTTCTATCAGCAAAAGGTCAAAGAAAGGCAGATCTGGCAGGAGGAGATTTGTTTATCATCAGGACGATGCTAGGCTACACTTATTAATAGTGGCTCGCACCAAGTGATTATCTTATGTTCCTCCTCTCGTTTGTCCCAAAGAGACAATGGACAATTGGAGACAAGGATTTCTATAAAGGTGGTATAATGGTAAATAAGGTAAGTAACCTTCAATTTAATAAAAAAATAATGCAGTAAAAAAACAAAAAATAACATACAGCAAAAAAAAAATTCAAAATAAAGGAAAAAAATTCAAACAAAACAAAATGAAATGATATAAGTTAAAAAAAAAAATAAAATAATATAAATTAAAAAATAAATAATCTAAAGTGAAAATAAAAAAATTACATCAAGCAAAACATATTAAACAAAAACAAAAAAAAAATAGAATAAAACAAAATAATAATAAATTATAAATTTAAATCAAACATACAAAATAAAATAAAATGCAAGAAGAAATAATATAATATAAAACAAAATAAAATAAAGTAAAATAAAATAATGTAAAATAAAATAAAATAAAAAAAATCAAATAAATTAAAAATAATTAAATAAAAACAAAACAAATTCAAGTGAAGTGTATAAAATTAAAAACAAATAAAAAGAAATTAATAAAATTGAATAAAATAAAAAATAGATTAAATAAATAAATAACATGAAATGAAATAACATTAAATTAAAAACAAATGAGCAAAAAACTAAAATCTGCACAAAATGAAATAAAATATTTTAGAATAAAATTAAATTAAAAAAATAAAAATAAATTAAATGAAACAAGTGAAAATAAATAAAAATTAAATTAAATTAAATAAAAAGCATAAAAAATAAAATAAAATAAAACGAATTAAAATGGAATATATTAAATTTAAATAAAGTAAGTCGAATTAAATAACATAAGAAAATAAATTAAATTCAAAAAATTAATAATAATAATATGTTACAAAAAACCACCTAAAGTAACATGAAACAGAATAATATATAATAAAATAAATATTATTAAAATAAAACTAAATAAAATGAAATAAAAAATAAAATTAAATTAAATAAAATACATTAAAAAATAAAACAAGAAGAATTAATAGGAATTAAATCCATTTAAAATAAACTGAATAAAAGAAGAAAAAGAAATTGATTAAAAAAATAAATAAATAAAATGAATGAAATTAAATTAAATAAAATAATGTATGACAAAAAATAAATTAAAATAAATAAAATAAAAAAAAAAAATTTACATAAAGTAAAATAAAAAATAAGGAAAAATATATTAAGAAAAAAAAATTAAAAAAAAAAAACTTTATATTGTTAAACTAAGCAAATATAAAATGAAAAAAAAATTTAATTATGAAAACATATTATAATGATTTAAAAAAAAAATAAAATAAAAAAGTAAAATACAGCAATGTAAATTAAAACAAAATAGAAAAATAGAATAATCTAAAACAATAAAAATAAAATAAAATAGGGGAAAAAATTAAAAGCAAAAATAATACAAATTGAAATAATTCAACTAAAGAAAAAGAAAATATAATATAAAAATAAGAAAAAAAAATATAGAATTAAAAAAAAAATAAATTAAAGAAAATAAAATAAAATAAATAAGAAAAGAAAAACAAAATAAAATACATACAAAAATCAATATGAAATGAAATTAAATGAAACAAATAAAAAAAACTAAAAAATTAAAAATCAAAATATTAAATAAAATCAAACTTACTTGCGGTCGCCCATATTGATCATAGCATTCCAAGGCAGGCATGAAGGTGGTGGGACCATGCCCCGCCGCGCTAGATGTCGGTGCATGTTGCATGAATAAGCACAATAGCAGAGTGCCACATAAGAGTTGCCTTCGCACAGCGAAGAAACTCCATTTATTTAGTCTCATCTTAGAATATTTGTACTTTGGCACAAAATGAATTTTGTTTTTTTCTCTCTCTCTCTTCTCTCTCTCTCTCTTTTCGTTAAACACACTATCCTTTTTGCAGTTTTATTCTTTTATTTAACACATTATGGTAGAGCTTTTTTGCTTATTTCTGAAAAACAAATATACATACACAAATTTTAGCAAAAAGCATTCTGTTGGGCTGATGGGTTTGGAATTTATTTTCTTAATATAAGCACATCTGGACATGTGGTCAACACATTCGATTATTATATGATATATAAAATAATTTTCTATGACTAACACGGATTTTTTTAGTTAGCTTAATTTTAATTAATTTTTAAAATTTGTTCATTATATTTTGTTTTATATTTCAGTTAACTGTTTTATTTTTTTTTCGAGCTTCTGGTATCGAATTTTTACTTTTGAGTTTCAGTTTTTGAATTTTTGTGTATTAATTTTTATTTTTTAATTTATTTGTTTTTATATATTTTACCTCGGTCGCACTTTAATCTGACAATTTTTACAGACTCAGCCATAAGACACTTTTTGCCCGGTCCATTATTGAATACATTTGTTTATTCAATTATGAATGGCCGCATATATACGCACACACATTGTTTCATTTTAAAATTTATTCCGAAAATGTAAACAAAAAAATCACATAAATAAATTAAACACAAAAGCAACGATAAATTAAAGAAAAAGGGAAAAAAAAGAAAAAGAGAAAAAAATTAAGTAAACAATTATTTTCTTTACATTGTAGAGTCCTACTCCCGCAAGACCATATGGGCATTCTAAGATAATGCTGAATATTTTTATGTGGGTACACATATTCTGATCTAAATGGACCGACATATACATACATATATGTATACTTATATAAATTTGCAGATAAGAAAAAGTACACTTTTCTATGCACATAAATAAAACTCAAAATTTCCATGTTCACATTTATCCATGCATGTATGAGTATATAAGTATGTATGTATATATTATATATACCCACAATATCTGTTAAGCACTGATATCATACCACCAATGAATTTTGTTGATGATTTCATTTCTTAATGCCATTTTTGATTGACTGCAAATCAGTAAGGCAAACAATAGCGAGCGAGTTGCGTTGTGAATTGCAAACACTCTCATTAAGGTACATACTTATACATACATATATATGTAATTACAGACCATTAGAAGCCCATAAAATATGTACGAGTTGAAGAAATTTTGGCTTTGATAATATTTTACTATTTCTTTTTTAAGAATAATGACGCGATCACTCTGGCCGTCAGCGCTTTACGGCGCTAAGCTAAGAGCTGAGGATGCTTGACATACATATGTACATATGTCTGTACACTGTCTGCCAGTGAGAGCTTAATTTTTAAATAGTTTTGTATTAAGTCAACATTGCAAGGCTTAATTGCAATGTTTAAATGTGACATGGAATTAGAATACATACAAATAGATGAAAAGAAGTATATGAATAAATGACCATGTACTCATATATATGTATGTACATATTCGCACCGAGGAAAGCATGCATTGTTTATACATACATATGTATGTAAACCATTATGTATATGTAAACATTTTGCACATTTCCGCCGACAACAGATGTACTGGTGATATCATCTCTATTCCTGCATTGGGCAGTGCCTCGTGGCGATAGAGCGATAGAGATTCATTTAGTAGCGTCTCTTCTCAAAAAAAATATATTTATAATTATTAAAAAATATTTTCTGCATAAAATATTCCCAAGCAATATACAAGGCGAGGGCTAACTTAAATTAAATTTAAATTTTAAATTTTTTTCCTCTTAATATTTATGAAAATATGATTTTAAAATTCATAAGTATTATGCGAAGCTTTTGCTAAGAACTTCCCTATTGAACGCCAGTGTCAGTGCCTCAAGAAATCGAGTTCAAATGTTCGCTTTTAACCAGGGGTTTTTTTATGAAAACGAAAATGGACCAAGCAAAATAAGCCACCCAATCGAGATCTCAATCCAAAATTCATAAAAAGAAGACTACGTGCGCTGAGATTACAAGGATATATTATAAATGGGCTGACCTACTGAGCTGCTAAGCTCCTCTCTCGACGAACAAAGACCTAACTCTATCACCCATTCATTATTCCCGTCCAATATGCAATATGGTGCAGAAGCGTGGATTATGGCAAAATATGATGAGTCGGCGCTAGAAGTTTTCGGGAGAAAGGTTTTGCGTAAGAGTCATGGTTCTCTACGAGTTGAGAACGGCAAATACCACAGACGATGGAACGAACGAGCTATATGATGATATTGATATAGTTCAGCGAATTAAGAGACAGCGGCTACGCTGGCTAGGTCATGCCCTCTGAATAAATGAGAAAACTCGACCTTTGAAGCCTTTCGAAGCAGTACAGGCATGTGAAAGCAGAGAAAACGGAAGACCTCCAATACGTTGAGAAGATCTTGGCGCTGTACAACGAAAAGAAAAAAGAAAGGATATCATGTTGTGGACTCTGCTATTTTTATTACTGATTTAGATCGCGTAAATAAATCTTTTTTTTTTATTAGTATAACAGAGGAAGATGGGGTTATTGCATGCAGGATATATGTATGTTGGGTAAATCGTGGTCAGTTCTACTCTATGGCATCGTTATTGTCAATTACTCCCTTTCTGATGTGGCTCGAGGGAGGTTCGGATTGAAGTAGGTGTCTATCGTCGGGAGCATTGTGTAAGTGATACACCGCTGACATCAGAAGGTCTCTTTTCAGAGTGGTCAGAACGATGTTTTGACATGCTTGTACTCTCTTCTTTTGCATCTGGCTAGTTTCCGGCGTACATATAGGTGAAACGTAATTTACTTTCTTACAGAGGTTATCAATATCCTGGCCAGATGCTAGTATTAGACAGTCTTTGGCATATGAAATCAAAGAAACATCTTCTGGTGGTTGAAGAAGCTTCTGTAAGTAAAAATTAAATAGTAGTGCAGAGAGTCCACCTGCATGCGGAATTGAAAGTCCATTTTGTAGAAAAAAAAAACCATTAAGACACATACCACAAATTGGTAGAGGAGAGAAGGAGCTCGGTTGTTTTAGTTAAAACTCAGGAATTTATGAAAATGTGTTTGTTAAAACACACTACAAAAATGGTGATTCCAGCTTGGCCACGTTTCGTACTTTAAGGATAGAGAATATGGTACACATAATCGTCCAACTACTCAAGAAATTTGTAGAGACTGCATGGATTATAGATATTGCTCCACTCCAAATATCGCTACTGTAAGTAAATGTGTAACCGCTGCTCCGAATTTGTACGAGGTGTGACAATTAAGTAATGAGACTAATGCCATAAAAACCGTATATTTCAAAATTGTTCTAAAACTCTGCCATCCCCTTCAAAGTAGTCCCCTCGGGCAGCTATAAAACGATTCCAGCGCGTTTTCCCTGCATCGTAACCTTTCTGGAACGCTTCGACTGGAATGTCGATGAGTATGCTCGTCATGGCCACCTGGATGTCTTCAATCGACTCAAAATGTGAACTTTGGCGTTTGCTTTCCGGGTAGTATTGAAAAAAACCGGCTCTCATTTACAATTTTAGCGTACGTTTCCGAAGATGTTTCGCCCAATTTGGCGCAAAAATTTTATCGCGACGCGTTGCTCTTGATTTCGTTTTTCCATTTTCGTGACAAGCACCACGAACAGACGGTTACTCAACACGACACAGCAGACGAATTAAACAAGCTAGAGCGATGGCAAATTTATTAATGGTGGGTCACCACAATCTCGGCAATATAATCGGTTATTACTTTGTAGTCACACCTCGTATACATGTTTATTCCCGTTCTCAAGAGCTCGGATTTTCTTATGGCACATTATGACATATTTGGTGCTCTTGGACTACACCTACAAACCTATAAAGTCCAGCGCACACAACAACTGAACCATTCACAATCCATACGTCGATTGGGTGCTTGAACAACAAGAAGTGGACGGCGGTTTTTCGAACGAACTACTCACTCGCAGGAAAGGTAAATACGCAAAATTGTCGAATTTGGAGCTCTGACAATTTTCAAATAATTTAAAAGACGTCATTACATCGCAAAAAACTTACTGTCTGGTGCGCTCTTTGGGCTGGAGGTGTAATTGGATCTTGCTTCTTTGAAAAAGTCAGAGCTAAGACATGATTTTTGTGAATTTTTTGAATAATGTGGTTTCAACAAGATGGTGTAATATGCCGCAGAACACGAGCGTCGGCTTTATTCCGAGAGAAATTTCCGGCTGCGGTTTAACACCACTTTTTTCGGGAGGTTCCACGAAATTTCCTGTCTATGCGGATAAATCTATAACTCTTGAGCACTTAAAAACTAAAATTCGCCAAGTTATTGCTGAGTTAACGCCTAATAAGTGCCATAAAGTGGTCGAAAATTACCTCAAATGGTTCGAAGCTTGCGAAAATTCGCGAGTAGGTCATTTTGAATGATGCAGTGTTTCACCTTTGTTCAATCTTATAATACCAAATCCGTTCGAATTACTTTATTAGTATTCCTTCAAATTTTAGAATGATCGAATGACGAGTAAACGCAAGATAGCTGAGTATCCTCAGACGAAATTTCGCCACCAACGCTAACAGAAATTCGCAATGTGATTCCATGATACAAATATTTAGTGAATGCCAAGTTGCATATGGAAGGATTGTACTGTCTTTAAAGACTATTTTTAAATGGTTCCGAAGTTTCCACATCAGACATTATTCTGTAGGGAACGAGCACCGAGAAGGTCTTTCACTGGTGACGCTCTGGTGAATACCCAAACTGAGGAAGACGCACTATTGACACATAAAATGATTGCTAATGAATTGGGCTTGAATCAAGTGGCTGTATCGCAAATATTAGGTAATCATCTGGGATGCACGAAGAAATCGGCACGATGGGTAAGACGATTTTTGAATGAGGCATAAAAAGACGCACGAGCGCATTTTACTCAATTTTTCTTAAACAAATTCTAAAGTTGTTACTCTAATCTAGTAACGTCGTTGCTGACGATTAATCGTGGTTCTATGAGTACGATCCACAAACCAAACAGCAGTCCATGGTATGAAACCCAACAGGAGTAAACCCGTAAAATCTAAGTAACAAAAAGTCAGCAGTAAAAGTAATGATGTC